TGCTGCAAAGCATCTAAAACGCCAGGTGATAGTCAAAGTAAATGGCACGTTATTTAACTTATAAATTTCGCGTTTTAAACCGTTAAAAGTGATTAAGTGTTTACCATCCGGAACCAATATAATAGTCGTAGTATATAATCTGATAACGGCAAAATGTTTGCATGACAACCTTATAATTTTATCTAATACTAGCTGTGTCAGCGACTACGTCTACGTAGAATAGTTATTTATTAAAAGCAGTAGTTCCTGAGATTAGCGCGTTTAAATAAACTATCAGACTCTAACTACGACTAACAAGCTCTTCAGCTTTATATATTAGTATAGATAGATTTAGCGATCTTGAATCTCACTTTGTCCTTTGCGCGACGCCCTACCTGTACAACTAATCTTCCCTGCGTACGAGATCGACTCTGAAGGCACTTGGAAAGCAGTGGCGATCGATTTTATTTGAATATTTTATTTTACAACAGCTATTCTGGGGCTCTGAGTGCCCACTTGACAAGAAAGAGTACTCATACTGTAGATAAACGAGTGTCTATTTGCATTTCTTCTAACTTTTGTGTCGTCAAGAGGTTCGTGTGTATTATTCGAAGAGGCGTCGACAACACATTTGTATTTAACGGGGTTGTTGGTAATGGTAATCTATGGCTAATAATCAACGATCGTGGGTTCGATTCTCACCGGTTTCAACATTTTTCTAATCAATTTATACTATCTGTAGTTAACGCGTGTAGTAAAGTAAAAATAATTTTCAAATAAGTTTAACTAATATATGTCGCATCCGGGTCATGCGTACGGGACGCCAATAACACAAACGTCACTTTGACGTGTACAGACGGCAACGGGAGAGGGCAACGACAATAAAAAGGAGCGCATTTGTTGAGTCGGATTTCAGTTATCGTTGACATCGTCATAAGTCACCTGCAAGGAACTGACTATTATTATTTCTCGCCCGGAATCCTGCTGATTCTGACAATGAGTGACCAAGAAGACAACGTAACTCCGACATATATATCGCGTTTTAAACCGTTTAAAGTGCTTTGTTTAATCAATTTATAATTTTGAAACATTGGATTTCGTCTGAAAATCTGGATATTAAATGGGTGATAGGAATATCGGACAACAACGCATCTTGTTTTAATGTTATTTTGCTGGAGTACTTAACCTATCATAAAGTAAAACCCCCCATAACAAAGATAAATAATAACTTTGCATAAGAATAATACCGGCTATCGGGAACGGATATAGAAACGGACAGTTTAGCGTGGACCATTTTAATCTATGTTATTGTTTCAATTAAAAATCTATTTGGATTTAAAATATTTAACGACACTGGCGGGACTTGAATCGGCATCAGGACTGCTTTAACCAATTGAGCTACGGTGTCCACGATACACGATGACATGGTAGCTTAATTATTAGAAAGGTTCTAGCCCCGTCCGTGTCGTTATTTTTTTTTTAATCTAAATAGATTTTTAATTCATACAACGCCATCACATGCCAACATGTGAAAATAAAGTTTTTAAATGTCGGAATTCTATCTGCATTTTCAAAGTGTATAGACTAATGCATCGTGAAATATTCGGTTTGAGGTTATCACCAGATGCACTACTGAAGAGCACGTGTTTTATTTCATATGCACCGCAAACAAAACTGACAACAGCTGTTCAATTTTCGAAACGTTGCGCCAGAAAAAAATAAACATTGTTCTTCTGTCGTTGTCTAGCAATGCCTTTCAAATATCAATGGTAGTTCCCAGAATCTTTACCTACGTTCTTAATACCATTTCAGTAAGTTAAAACAGTTTACGATTTATAACGAAGTATATTGGTTAATTTTTTCTTAACTATGACCCGACGTTCACCTGTGACCACGACAGCTGTGGGACATTAAAAACGTCGCTACATTTAAAGTACTTCTTGAAAGCTTAGATTGTGAAATGATTTTTTCAAAAAGGCAGTTATGGTAAATTCGTACTACTTTCTTAGATTTAAATAAAACACTTAACGATTTTAAACGCGAAATGTTAAACTTATTTATAAATAACTAGCTGTATCTAGCGACTTCGTCCGCTAAGAATATTTATTTTGGGCATCCAAATTCGTTTTTGCAAACCCCTTTATCTTAATAAACTTAAGTTGTTACCCACGACGTCGGTCGCGTTCCTTTTCTTCTCGTTAATTTCAAAAGATAGACATACAATGTCGCAGACATTTTTTTAGATCATTTAAAGAGGAATCATTCTTTGATACATATTTTTTTGGGTGTCTTTAACTGTTTTGGCAACGTACGCATCTGAAACCCATATAGATGATTTTTTTTTCCCGTTTCGTTCACATTTCCCGCTATAACTTCGCTCCTATTAATCGCAGGACAAAGTTATAGCCTATAGCCATCCTCGATAAATGTTGTAACCAACATAAAAAAAAATTTTCCAATCCGAACTCGTATTTCCTGAGATTAGCGCGTTCAAACAAACAACAAACAAACTCTTCAGCTTTATATATTAGTATAGATTTTGACTACGACCTGAAGTTTCGGATGCATTGTAGCAGCTGTGGTCACAGGGTCCCCCGTTTACATTTCGCGTTTGAAACCGTTAAAAGTGTTTTATTTAAGTGATAAGTAGTTTTGTATAAGGCACGCGTTTGGATGGACATTGATAACGAGTTTAAAGCCAATTAGGGTAGTTCCAATACTTCCTAAGCGCTCTCTCGGTTCTTACACGAGGCTTGGTTTAACAATAATAAAATTCTACGGAACTCGGCAGGTGTGCTCTGAACCTACTCACACTACAGCGCTTCTCTTGTGCCATGGTGTATACAGCACGTTCATTCTTTACAAAAAAAGGTGTATCAAATTATGCTCTACTTTGGAGCAGTAGTTATTATGAACGTAGTTTAAAGATACGAGTCTGCTTTAATAATCACAGAAATCATGTACATATTTAGTGCTGGGTGGGATTTGAAGCCCACATCATGTCCTAATTAGATTCAGATTTATAATCACAATTGTATATCCAAAAATAGGTCGAAACTAGTCCTTTGGCTTTTTTTTTTATGCTTCATATTCTCAGCTGGAAAAGAAAACTATAAGGTGCCACAATAATTAATGTTTACTAATTGAAAATGAATAAACGTGAAGTAGAGCAACATTCAGATGTGTTTATAGAGCGCGAATGGAGGCAACCACTTTTTTACAATCCCAACGTATTCCCTCGCCCCTTAGCGGGTCGAACATCAGTTCCTTATTCTTGCTCCAAACACTCGCCATGTCTTTACATCCTGTGTTTTAAAGGCATTTTGAAGTGATAATATTTGTGCAGTGTGAAAAATATGGATACAATAAATGTAGTTCTGAAAACTGGGTACAAAATTGTTAAGGATTTTTCGGAACAACACAAACATGTGAGTCTTTGTTTTGCTTTGCGTGTGTTCATTGTTAATGTAAGTAATTTATTAGGCTTAACAATGTCTTCATCATATTAATACATATTAGCAGAAAGCTTATTTCACTAAATGAGCGCTATAAAGAGCATTCATCGAATCTAGGTTTCTAGATTTTCGCGCTCAAAAGTGCACCCACATTTTACATTTTAATACACTAAGTTCTTTGTTATATCTCGTTTTAAATAATTATTGAATAGAAACTGGATCATCTCTTTTAATGGAAGTATAATATGTACTCTTATTTGTTAAACTAAAATTATACCTAGATTTAAATTTCAAAGCTATACAATTGTTTTTTTCGACTCGATACGAAAATTTTAAATTCTTTTCAATATACACTTACATCGCATTGTATAACTGAGAAGGAGAGACAGAACATGGGAGAAAGGTAGTACCAGCCATTTACTTATAATTAAGTTGATCCGCCGACTTATTATGGATTTGGACGGATATCCACAGACAAAACTAAATGTGAATTTTACCTAACGCCTTTTCCATTGTGGACGGTGGTTTGCGATCCGGCCGCATTTTAATGTCCAAATTTGGTCTTACATGCATATATTGCGAAATATGTTAGTTCGATGATAGATCAGGTCTTAATCAAATAAATTAATAATATCGATCGCGTTTTAAACCATTAAAAGTGTTTCATTTAAATTTACAAACATTCTGAATCCAGTGGGAATCTAATCCACTATTGGTTGTGGACCTCACATAGCTAACCTCAACGAGTTCGTCAAAAGTTACTACCTACCTTCTAAATGTATTTTTAAATGTTGCATGTCTGCGTCTTATAAAAGCGTCCAACGGTACAGTAACGGAAATTACAAGCAAACGTACTCAATTACATTTATTGAGAATTAAACCTGACCGTACATAATTTCTGCACACGAGCGTTTGATCACAGAATTTAGGTGAAGACTTTCACACAGCTCAACGTGTCTTATCAAAATAAAGTTTACCAAATCTGATCCGGTTAAAAATAATTATATTCGCATCGGTTATATTGTTTGTGTTTCACAAGCTATTAATTAAAACTAGCTATTACATCGAGCTTAATAAAAAAAATATAGCTTGTGTTTCATACATTTATATCATATGCGAATAACACATTGTCTTTTTCTAACTTGGTTGTTTGAATTAAATTCTACTGTTTATTAATTTTTGAATTCGACCCGATATTGTCTATGGGAAAACTACAGAGAATTCTTGGTTTTTTTTGGTTTTCATTTATATAATTATTAATATTAGTTATAAGTCTATGGAATTGTAATCTACAATAATTCTATGTTAGTTTTTAAGTGCAATGCAATTGGGCTTCCACCTGTAATGACAATGTAATTTTAATGATTAATGATTAAAATAAATAAATAATTGTCTTTGCTTGTGACCGATGACACTGTCTAGTTATTAAAAAAATTAAATACTGTCTCTTACAATTTAAAATTTTATAATAATTTAAAAGTAATCCACGTTTAAATGGAACTATTAAACAATCTCGTTTAAAGATTTGTACGTTGCATAATGATAACATTATGATTTTGTTATCAGATGGAAACGTCAGGTGGATCGGAAAGTTCTGGAGGCGAAGACGCAGAGGCTCGGCGGTCACGGAGAGGACACGTTCTTGCGGAGCTACTCCAAACCGAACGAATCTACGTCCAAGAAATGGGCTCAATACTTAACGTAAGTTACCATACAACCGACCTTGCTTCGCCCACTTTAATATTTCGATATTCGACACAGACGATTAAACACCTCGATATCTCGTGCGTTACTCGCTCTATAAATTAAATATGCCATTGTTATGTACGCATCATCTATGTGGTCTGTTATGGACCATCAGATATCTCATCGGCCACATATATATACGATGTAGTCAACACGCAACCCACGCTCCGAGGCAGACCCACTCAATGGAACCGATGCGATGCAACACATTCACCAAGTGCACTCCGATGCAGACTCTCGGTCGCGTCTTGCTTCACGTGTATATGCATTATGAAGTATGGAAAGTACGACATTCACAAGTCTTCCGCTGATCTCAGCATCGGAACATCCTATTCCTGGTACTACAGGAAGAACGATTCCACGACGCGAAAGAAGAAACGACTCACAAGAACCGCGTCGGATTCCACTCTCTTCAGTGACTACGCTAATCAAATTGCTCTCTTCGATAAAACCAAGAATCGAAGGAAGAAAACAGTGACGGACAATCTAGGGTGTCGGATCAAATGTCAGCGTAAGAATTTGAAGCCTGTCGATGTGAAACCGTTCACTGGAAATTTCTTTTATGGAAAACTACTGCCCGGTTATGAACACGCACCGAAGACAGAGGAGAAAATCGTGTACTTGCCGGATTCAGACGTTGTGACCGTGTCCGAAGATAACACAGCTGAATCACTAACGAGTGGCGCGACAGTTGTTGACCTCCCAGAAATCGTGAAAAATCCTATATACGGTTGCAAAGAGAGGGAGGTTCACATACCGACACCAGAAGATCAGACGGACTCGACGATTTCAAAGGACTCGCAGTTAAAATCGAATAGTTGTACTGAACTGCGAAATACGATGGACAGTAATACAACGAACGACGTATTCACGAATATTTTAAAGGATTACAAAAGGATAATGAAAGAATGGAATACCACTATAATGGACCATTATTATACGGGTTCCCATTCGAAGCGATCAACAATGTGTTCAAAAAGCAATACGGAGAGTTATGTTCGCAGTTTGCATTCAACTCTGTCATATAGAAAGAAAGGTGGAAAATCATCAAACAATCATAGGCATTCTTATAATTATCAATGCAAACGATATCGAGGTCATCGACCTAAGAAGTCTGCTAGCTTGCGAGATCAGACACTTAGTAATTGGTCGACAACTTTGCGGAATATTAAGAGTATCTTCCAAAAGAATGGCCAGGACAGCTCGTCCCATCGAGATTGTTTGGAAGCGATATATGAAGATTATGATAAACGTTTACAACAGTGGTGTGACACCATCACAGAATACACATCTTCCCTTGACTCGGTATTGTTTATTTGTTATTTTTTATGGTATGGTAGTAGTATGTAGCGTTGTATATATGAATCATTTTCATAACAGGATAAGGACGAAACTAAGGGGGGAATTCTTATATATGTACGTTGCCGCTTAAGACACTGATTAGGTGGTGTGACATAGGTTACATACATATTATATAAATAAATATTAATATAACCTAGAAAAATATATATTATACAATATCAAAATTTCGTTATATAGCTATAAATTATTGTGTTAAATTCCAGGGTTACAAAGAGGAAATTGAAAAACCAGAAAATCAACACGTCCTGCCATCCGGATTACTGGGCCAGGCAGACGTCCTGTTCGGGAATCTTCACGAACTCTTCACATTCCACCAAGAAATATTCCTTAAGGACCTAGAGAAATCGATCTCGGCAACGGAGCTCGTTGCTCTTTGTTTTGTTGAGAAGGTTAATTTTATAATTATACGTTTTTTCATTTGTTTCCGCGTCAGCCTTCACATATTAACCTTCCATTTCTTAATTCGCAGAGGGAAACGTTCTTCCGCCTATATAGTTATTATTGCCAGAACATACCTCGCTCTGAGAGATTACGAGAGACCCTGGTAGACACTCATCTATTCCTGCAAGCTTGTCAGCAACGACTCGGTCACAAATTGCCTTTAGCGGCTTATCTGCTCAAACCAGTGCAGAGAATCACAAAGTATCAACTTCTGTTAAAGGTAAGGTTCTATGTTTTGTTTAACATCCGTCCATACAATGAAATTAACAAAATATAACTTGTGTAAGTATTCTTAATATTACTACTCGGGACACGGGGCAGACATATTTATGTGTTTGTTTCACTTTTTGGTGCGACTACTCTTCACTAACTTTAGTATTCTATATGTATAGTAATTCAAGTGGAGGTTAACACAGCGCGCAAAAATAATATATAAAAATTTTTAGTTTCATCTTTAAGTTGAAGTGTGATTAAAAGCAATACTTAGCAACTAAAACGAACTTACACGAGAATTGTATTTTGGCTATGTTCTTTAAAAGAAATTAAATTCTACAGTCATCTGTCCTAACTCATTTCTGTTTATTTTACAGGATTTACTGAGATACAGCGAGTGTGGTTCGATGAGCGCTGGTCTGCAGCAGGCTCTTGATTGTATGCTTGTGGTGCTCAAATGTGTCAACGATTCCATGCACCAGATAGCCATCACAGGAGTGCCGGTCAGTAATGTCAAATTTATTTATTTAAAACACAAGAAGTAGACAATACTTAAATAGGAATTTAACAATACATTAGAAATAGTATACGTGATGTGATAATCCCGTTTCCACAGTGGGGTTTTTTGGGGAACACATTAATGTTTTCGTTTCAATGATCAGTTACATTTCTCAGTCAGACAGATCAGTCTCTTGCCCAACCGAATCAATTTTCTCGGGATTCGAACCCAGAACTACCCAAGTGTCATATTTACATCTAAAAAAATCTCTTGAAATTACTAAAAATGTAATGTTAATAAAAAATAAGTACCTAATTAAACTTACATCCACAATATATCAATTTACAATTCAATCAATTTTCAATACTCCATATTAATTTTCTACGAACAAATTACAGGTTGATCTCAGTCAGCAAGGGGAACTTCTGTTACAAGGTTCGTTCCTGGTTGCTTCAGAAAATAAACGTGACTTGCGCCTGCGCATTCGGCCGCGACGCAGACACATCTTCCTCTATGAAAAGGCGATGTTATTCTGTAAGCCGGCTGCGAAGAATAGCCACAACAAAGCCACTTACCACTTCAAGCATGACTTACAGGTAACTAATTTTATATAAGAGAGATGTAACACATACTGTCCCTAAAGATATATTGATTATTATATAAGTCATTACGGACTGTTGGTCTATTAGTAAATAATTCACGGGTAACGAACCGTTCATAGATGAAGCTGTGAAGTTTAATCGCGTTTCGGTTTCTGAGATTTCTGAATAAGCAAAGCCGAAATAGGCCGACATCTTGTTGCTCATGCATGCTCTGTCGGAAAATTACAAAAAAGCTCTTACCTATTTGATTTTGAAGGAAGAGGGATGATTTACAAGTACTATTTACACTAATATCAACAAATCTACACTAGATATCTAAACGTTTTCACGGGAAAGTTGTTGTTAAAAACCCCCCAAATCTTCTAGTCTTAGAACAGTTCGCAACTAATGAATTTCGCGTAGACAGTATTTAAAGTTTGAGTTGTTTACCGCGGCAGATGTCACAAATTGGTCTAACGGAATCGGTAAAGGGCGATCCCCGAAAGTTCGAAGTCTGGCGTCAAGGACGAGCTGAAGTTCACACTATAACGGCCCCCACCGCAGATGTCAAGCGATCATGGGTCGAGAGGATCAAACGAGTTCTTCTCGATCAACTAAAGGAGCTTAAAGGGGAGCGAGTCAGGCAGTACGCACAACATCATAGGTAAGGAAGTCTTCTGAATGACAAGTCCAAATAGGACGACAGCATCTTGTTTAGCTGTCATATGGCTCGGGTAAGTCACGTTTTATCAGTTGAATTACATCCTTATTTAAAATTCCTTTGTCACAAAAATATCTATGAAATTGATGCTAAAATTGGTGCTTTTTTTTGCCATACTATATTGATGTCTATGCAGTTATCTATGGTCATAAATTATTATTTGTGGATTATGAAAATGTAGCTTTCTTTTTAACTAATATTTTAAGTTTTAGTAAACATTATTTGTTTTAGTAGACTAAAACAAATAATACTTTCTTTTTGATTCTGTTTCAAGACTTAACAACAAGACCTACTTAGTGTGATTTATTCTTCATTTTCGAACTCATTTATTCTTCAGTCTTTAAAAGATGCATCTTGCATACTTATTTATATAATAGATATCTGTGACAAATCTATATCTCATTGTCATGTGTGTACTAGCGACGTCAAACAGGTTTTGACTTTTAAAAATATTATCCAGAACCTTAATTCAAACAAGTTCGTGGGATCTTGGGCCACAAAAGGAGCGACCTCCAGCGCCGTCCTCAAATCCATCGAGAACTGCTTCATGTGATAATCACGACGAGCCATGCTGGTCAACAGATCCTTCGGAGGATGAAGAAGACGAACCCGAGCATACACCGGTATGTTGATGTGCTTTTCCAGACTTATACTATTTTAGCTATTATTACTACGAGGTCAATTGTCAAATTATGACAAATGACGCATTAATTTTAAATGTATTTTCGTTTTGTAGAGCCAAACTTTATTGTTTTCTCGTTGTAAATGTCCAATATTGTTATTAAAAAGTGTATTTACTAACCGCTGTAAAGGTTTTATGGGTCATAATACCGGTGCGATATTAATGGTTACTAATTTTGGGTTTACAGTGTGAGTGAAGTGAACCACTCAAAATTATGTAAGTGTAAAGTGTTTTTAAAGGAATGTGGGCTAGACACGGGGTAGCGCATGACTAGGCTGTCATCCCAGATGCACAACGCTTCCCGGATTAACCAGCAAACTAAAAAGCAATATATAACAGAGAATTACTAGTACCTCATTGGAGGTACTACGAGTTCTCAAAAGTCCGTCCTCATATCACTTTGCTGTTCTCTTTGCATCACTCATCGCTTATAGTATCAGTACGATAGCAACACCAGTAAGTTTTCTCGCACTGGCAACAATCGGTGGATCCGGGTCAAAATGGCGTCTGTTGTATGTTGTGTTGTTCAACAGGTGACGGAGGCTGTCGGTCTCAACGGTACCATACACAGAATGGTACAGTTCTTTTCCGTATCGGGCTCGACACAAGCCAACTCAACATTTTACGTGTCACAGTACTGATTAACGACCCTGGGGTCACCCCTCGGGCCTTGTATATAAAGACTGAATCCCAAAACTTATTATAGCCAAAGAAAACGACGGATATGTCACTTTTAGTCGCTCAACATTTAACATTGTGTAAGTCATGTTTTGTTTATCAGATTCATTGTCGTGTGCTTCGCTTATCGATGTTGTATGTATTTATTGAAGAGCTATATATCCATCTTATAGATTTCATTTCTGAACGTTGTTGAAAGTTATCGGCAGTATGGTACCGACATGAAATTACCTAGATCTCTGGGTACTCTAGTAAGCCAGTGTTGCGTTTAGTCGAAATCTTCAAACACTTTCTTTTAAAGGGCTTAATTCTGCACCTATAAAAAACATCTATTTCAAATATGAATCTACTCTTTAATCTGTGGCACAGTTTCCGTTACAAAATCATTATCAGAACCAGTAGAATCTCTACAATCTATAATAAAAACGTTCACTGTATTAATCTTCTATCTAAACTATATCTTGCGCCAAATATAATATAAGTATATGTCTCTAAGTCAATTGCATGGCTTAGCCAAACTGCCGAAATTATGTAATATACTAACATTATATATGCCAATATTTTAACTGTGCGCAATTGTAATTATGTTAATACGAATAATTGAAATGCAGTTAAAGTATTGAAAATATGAAAGTATAAATACTACCTAATACCAATGAAAATTGTTGCATGAATTTCGACTGTGTTAACACGCAATAATAGTTGAACACGCATGGCGACGGTGCTGAGAAATGAGATTGGAAATAAAAGGCGTATAGAATGACATGCATGAAGCGTTATTGATGGACTAACACACTATTACAATATTGCATTCAATTGTACAGGACAACTAAGTAACATTTTATAGTGTATTTTTTCTAACTTGGCATTTTTGGTAAAGAAACAATTTATATGAAATCGCAATTTTCTCACATTGATTTACACTAAAAATACTTGAGATTCTGGATTATATATTAAACTAATGAACTGCCTAAAATTCACTTGGTAAAAGCCACACTTTCATGCTAAAATTAATAAAAACCCTAAAAATTAATTCACGTAAATGCACAGATTAAAATTTACATAATTACGGGATGTAAGCAAAATTAATTACATTAGAATGATCGCTGAAAAGCGTTACAGACCTTGAGTTAAATAGTAATGACATTACAAAATTAAAAAAAAAGAGTCTCATAAAAGTGATTTTGAATATTGAGGTCGTTTGGTCAATATGTGAGTATAATGGATATTTCTTTATCCCTCTGTATAATCTGTGGCAACAACTTCACTCTATAAACGGTCATATAACACTAATTCTCTATGGTTTGAAATCGGCCATATTTGTTTTGGTTTTTTGCCAAGTAAGAAAAAATAAACTAAATACAAGTCACATGGTTTATGCAACGCGTTAAGTCCTAGTTAGAACCTGGTTTCTTGAAGAGAAAAAGTTTCGGTTAGGCAGGGCACAGGACACACTTACTGCCTCTTCTTAAGATACGGGGCGTCGCTCAAACATTTGATTTTGTAAAAATACATGGTATTGTAAAATGCATAAAGATTTTGGCGTTAATGAACTGGGGTATCTTTGATGTTAACCTGCCTCCTTCCTAAAATATACTAGGTATATTTCTCACTATTACCAAATATATGTTTTTGTGATCACAACAGATAATAGTGGCGAGATTTAGCCAATCATGTTTGAAAGTGTTACTTAGAAACTTTGACAATGTCGATTCTAGCTAGAAAATCATGTCTAGATTAAAACTATATACACAAAAGACGTTTAGTTTATAGTGGTTATTTATTATCCTTGAATATCAAGTAATTATTGAAATAAATCTAATTAAATTAATAATCGATTTTAGATTTCAAACAAATTGCGTCACGGGCATGACTTGACCTGGCGTCTACAGCGTTCCGTGCTGTTGCTCTAACCAATTCAGCTACCTACCCGCCAGGTCCTACGTCATCGGAAAATGTTTTCAAGTGATTTATACTTGCACTTCTCGCGCCATTTCAACCTTAACACCTTAAATTACAAATTAGTAAATTAATTAGTCAAATCTAATTGGTGATCAGGCGGTGGGGTGCTTGCTGATGGCGCTGTCTGATTACACGGCAGTAGGCGCTAGCGAGGTGTCCCTTCGAGAGGGGCAGCATGCCGAACTTCTTAAAGTCGGGTGCGCAGGCTGGTGGTACGTGCGTCTTGCTGGTATGTATTTGAATCCAGCATCAGAAAACCTTTTAAAATTTAAAGAAATAAATGATTATCGCTATAAAAAAAAATATGTACCCAACATATTATTGTTTTTAGTTTAAAATAAGCGAAGAGGAACGCCTACTCTTTATAGCGATACAGGCCAAGATGGACATCCGGATTGTTTGACTTTTCAATAACATTTGTTTCGTACTTATTAGATTAATATAGAAATAAAAAATATTTTTATTACTCTCACAACTGACGTGAACACTGAGGCGGTTAGATCAATGCTTAAGTTTAAAAAAATCTGTAGTTTAACTGTTGAAAACGAGAAGTTAAACTTATATTTGATGTATCTTAAGTGCGACCCGTCGTTTTGGATGCTTCTCAGCTGCCCGTCTCACGTGCCCTGATTATATATACTTACTTTTCCATAATTTATGGACATTTATTTGTCATATCGACTTGTAGTCCTGTTGTCTGTGTTGTATTTTCGATGCAGCAACTGCTTCATCACGAAAGCTTAAATTCCAGGTGGTCACGGAGAGGGTTGGGCGCCGGCGGCATACTTGGATCAGCGGAAGACGTCACGCTCTTCGAGTCGATCACACGACCGGCTGCACGAACATTAGTGATCTTTACGCTACAGCTCGCGTCTTTTAACTGCAGACTTGGTTGGCTATTGATGATGAATCTTGTTAACAGCCAATCGTGAAGGTCTTCAATGCATTTAGCATTCAAAAATTCGGTTTCATTTAATGTTTTGTTAAATTGTTGAATGCATAATGGCGCCTGTCGTATGGCTTAGCTTTGAAAGTGTTTCAAGACGCTTTGTAATTACTTTTAAATCAATATTAAAGTATTTTTTACCTTTGTGAGCCTTATAGACGTGTCGAGAGTATTAAATATAATATTGATAGCGCACGTGTTCTGCTCACATTAGCTGTAGTAAACTATTTGTAGATACTGTGGATTTATCAGTTTTAATCTTGCGCAAGTTTGCTTTTTGATATTAATAAGCCTATGACGGCCCGCATAAAATCAGTTACAGACTTACATTAATTTTATACAAAAAATATTTCTCTGAAACGAAGAACTAAATTTTGTTTAAAAACAAATTATGTGTATATTTCGAAAAACTTTATGATTGTTTTTTAATATGTTATAAATCAAACTGACAATGTACTTTTAATCACACAATTTAATGTTTCTCGGGTTAAACCGCCATCTTGTTTTTTTTTATTTTGACTTACGTCAATCATATGTCAGATCGTGAGATTCGCGGGAAAAAGTTCCTTACATTTTATCTATATTGGATAATTCTAACTACGATCGGATATTTCGGGTGTTTTATATCAGATGCACAGGGGTTAATAATGTGGGCGTTACAACGCATATAATTCGCATTTTAAACCGTTGAAACTGTTTTGTGTACACTCTTGAGGGAATTTAATGGTGACATTATGATGACTATACGCTATTATACGCGTCGTGTTCAGGAGCTGTAAATATTTAAGACTGATAATTCACAGTTAACTTCTTATTATCCAAAATGTCTCACGTACCAATTTTTAAAGCGCCCTTATACCCACTCGTTATTGTTAATATACAATGTCATTGTTATTATAAATGTTGTTCTAAAGCTTTATTGTATTAGTGTTAGATGTAGTATCCAAAGCTATGTAGTGGTGTAGGAAATTGATGATTTGAAATAGAAGTCGACAGGGCTACCTATAATGTGGAATGGACAAATTAATTTATTGCTGTGATTCAAGATATACAAGCATTTTCGCCAACTGGTTTTTAAAGCTACATTTGAAAGATAGTTCTGTCCAGATAAGAGCCCTTCGCAACTGAAGCATTATTTCTTGTAAATATTTAGTTTTAGTAATTTATTTGTAAACTAGATGAGTTTAAAACGTCTCAAGTGTCCATGACATCTGTAGATAGATAAATTGATACATAGCCCTTACATTTCACGATGCTACAATTAACCGAAACCACTTTCTACTGTCCTAGATTATACAGAGTTAATAAATAATAATTAATAAAACATTTTGAGACAATAATAATTACTTGAATAATAAATATAACTAAGTACGTCGTGAAATGCAAAGTTTATATTATGGTGATAGGATTTATTCCCATTTTTGTAGTTAGGGGTCGTCTATTTATTGCGTCACACGTCGAGGGGTAATCTAAAATTGATGACGTCATATTCTGATTCAAATGTACATACGTAGAGATACTTTAATTAACGTAAATTGTGACGTCACAAGTTAGGACAGGAACTACGACTATCTATATTTTGACAAGCTTCGATCCAATGGTAGTTATGAATGGATAATAATGTTTAACGTTGTCTAGAAAATGTGGCCGATAAATCAGCGGAAGAAACACCCGTGTTCGTTTATTATGTGGATTTCCGCGTGTCCAAAGGAGAAATAGAAAAGTCCAAAGTCAAAAATGAAAATAAAATTCGTGTGACGCAACTTCTAGATGGCGCCATATCAACTTAACTTTTAAAGTATCCATATCCCTCTATAATCATATCATTGTCGCTTTGCGTTTAATTTTTTGATGTATACACTGTGTTGTGAGTGAAATGCTGGTACCCTTGGTTTGCTTTTGGTGTTCTAAATACCTACTAGTCCACTTTTCATTGTTTCGTTTGAAATACGTAGAACGTCAAGATCATTACTAATCACGACATAATTGTGAATGTAATTTTGATATCATACAACACTAATAATTACATGGAGTTTTACCCATTTATTTTGTTTTATTTTTATCGAGGCATCATCCATTTTAAATTTATCGTCGTTACTACTAAGTACACGTAATTACTGTATTGTATTAGTGGCAGAAATGTTATAAAATAGTACGGCTGTGAATTTCACAGGGAATAAATCTACTAAAATATGGATCAAATGGAAAGTCATATTGCATTTATTGTTTAGAGAAAGCACACATTATCAACATAAAATAATTACAAAAACTACATATAAATAATAAGTTCTAATAAATATTATTAAGTGTTCATCAATGACTGTATCTTCAGAGCTTCAAAACTACTCGGATATCAGATAACAACTTTACCCAAATACTTAGTAATGTATTAGGAGTTTAACTAGAGAAATAAATTTCTGAAACTAATTGTTTTTTATTACCATTAAAGGTGAAACAATATAGAATAATGTTTGGTACATCCTTATTACCGTGCCATTAATGCCCGGTACCTCTATTGTTTAATATAAATTGCCCATTAACTGGCGTAATGCAGTTTTTATGAAGCACAAATGAAACACTGTGTACCCAAGTAGCCATTCACTGTATTTGTACAAGAAAAAAATATCTCTAAAATAGATTTAGTCTATGATTGTGGAAAACAGTAAATATTTCAACATTCACCGAATCGATAATTGTAAAAGTAAAATTTGTACAAACCATTTCCGCTTATTACTTTTGCTTACTTAGTCTTATAATGCAGATTTGCCTCTGCTGAAAATACGGCTTTTAAAGATGTTATCTATTTTACTAAAGACATCATCCGCTGACTTTGAGGCGTCCACTCTGTAGTGCAGACCTTGCCTCATGTAGTAGTCTACTAAAGGAACCGTTTGTTGATGATATGTAGCTAAACGCTTTTTGAGAGCATCAACATTGTCATCCGACCGTCGTATCAGAGGGTCTCCGGTAACATCATCTGTCATCGGTTTCCTAGGAGGGTGGAATTCCTCATGATAACTCCGACCACTTGATGTATGAATTAATCTTCCTGTTATTCTCCGCACCAGTAAGCTATCTTCAATTCCAAACTCAATAACAGCATCTAATGCTGTTTTCCTCTTTGCTAGCAAATCATCAAGCTGTGAAAAAATAAGAGGGTAAATTACTAAATTGTTGAAAAATAATGCGAGTCATAAATAATTATTAATTCACTAAATTGAACAACATCAAATTTCAATGAATAGTATAAGAAAAGTTTTCACCCTTACAAAGTTGATATAACACACATTTTATTTGGCCTTCACAAAAAATAATTTGAACTTAATTATTTTTTGTCTAGGATAATCTAAGATAAATTTAAATCCAGCTAATTAAAAAGTCGCATTTAAGTACTCAACATGAAAACATTACCTTTTCAGCTTGTGGTACACTTCTAGGGAAACCATCCAGCAAAAATCCATTTTTACATTCAGGCTTGTCTAGGTTTTTGTCAATCATGTCAACAACCATGTCGTCAGATACGAGTTTACCCTCATCCATGACTTTCTTCAGCCGACGGCCTAACTCTGAACCAGATCCAACCTCTGCTCGCAGCATGTCCCCAGTAGATAAGTGGCATACACAATATTTTTCTTTCAGACGTGGTGCCTATGAACATATTGCTATACTATTATCAAAAAAATTATATAACAATGTTGTGATATTTAAGTTATAACAATCAAATAGATAAGATATTTTAAAAGTACATAGGTTGTTTTAATGAGCTCAAATTCTGAGAGAAATGAAAGTGAATTAAATTACAAAGGCCAAATTTTACCTGAGTTCCCTTGCCTGATCCTGGAGGTCCTAATAAAACAGCTCTGATGCCGGTTGGGTCTTCATCAGGTTGAGGTCTAACAGCAGCAGCAGTTGGAGCCATGTTTTCTATAATATTATTGTCGGTTGATTAGGTTCACAAATATCAATATAATTAAAATATAATTTAACATAGCTTATATCAGTAATTTATTAAATAAAGTGTTAAAATACCTGCCCTTCTAAATCAATGTTGATTACAGGAAATCTCGTGGACAAATCACAGTTTTGATAAAAGACATCTGGCAGCCAGCCTGTTGTCTTATACCAAAAAATTCTACAAGGTGTCAATTTCAATTACCAATGACAGTGACATTTAAAACTGACATTGACATCTAGCTAAAAATGTATTATCATTATCTATATGCATGACCCATTACTTAGTCCATTTGCCATTAATTAGAAAGAAAGTGTTACCTAGTTTCAGTAAAAAATAGAAATGTGATTAAGCTTTGAACTCTCGTATTATTTAATCATATAGTATTATTATTTCCCTTTATTCATTTATTTATCGTTATTAACGCAGGAAAATATTAAGAAATATTGCAGCTTATAATTTTCATCGATCAAATAAAATCTTTTAATACAATTTAAAAAATATGTATTTGTAAAAATATTTCAATTCAAACAAACGAATTACAATTCATTTTGACAAACATAAAGAAACACGACGGACATAAAATGGAAATAATCTTCATCATTATTGATCTGCACATCCGTTAGATTAGAGTAAGCGGGCTCAATTTCTTGCAACGACGTGTCAAGACTCTCATCACTGTCTCTTGTAGTTTCAGCCCACGAGACACGCTTCAGACTTCTAGAACTGTCCCTCTTTTTGTCCAGAGCTGGCGTAGAGTGTGATACGGGAGAGGGTGGTTCTTTGATTGGAGTTTGAGCACATTTATCCAGAAAATGTTTGCGGAGGACAAACTCTCTCATAGAGTCTTGGGAAGCCCGTTTTGCTGGTGGCGGGGGCGGCAACGTCGTATCATCTTCTGGTGGCGGATGTATCTCGTGCCTTGCTTCTTCAATTCTCTTAGTTTCTCCTTCATCAGCCGCTAATGGCCAAGCCCCGAGCTTGTTTCGTACTAGATGAGGCCGTGCGTGTGCTGCGCATAGAATTCTTTTCCGCACGAAGTCATGATAGACAGTCAACTCAGACGCTAATTCCCTTCTAACAAGTTGTTTGTGACGTGTGGGTACACTTGGATCTCGGACTGCTAATAGGGCCTGGAAAATTTGCAATCTGATTAGAAATCGGAAACCTTATAAAAATCTTGTGTAAAACTTGTGTAACACACATTTTATTACAAGGTTTAGTTTAATTTATACTAAAACACTTTGCCACGCTGGATTATTTCATACTTAATTAAAGAAACTCCTAAAAATTAATTTACGCAAATGGACAAATTAAAATTTCTTTAGTTTAACATTCACATAGGGATGAAATGTAAGCAACGTCAACGACAATAGAAGATAGAAGTCCCACTCATGCACGACAAGGTCTATTAATAAAATAAGTAATAAAAGAGGTCTCATAAAAGTGATTTAAAAAAATTTCCGTAATATATGGCCGTTTAGTCCATAATATATTATCGGTATTTCCTTATCTTTATGTCATTTGTGCTAACACTCTATAAAAGGTCATCTCTATGGTTTCCGGCCAAATTTGTTGTGGTCTTTTGCCAAGTTAGAAAAGATACACTGTGTGAAGTGATAATAATTATTAAATATTATTTTTTATTAAATATAAAAAAATATACTATACATATAGATACTCATTTGTGTCTATAGAAGTTACCTGAGAGGCAAGCAATGTCAATGTGGCTTGCAACGCCCCGGCCAGCAACCGCTCGTCAGTAGCTGGCAGTGCACTGGCAGCAGAGGACACACTGGCGACGGACTCGCTTCGGTTAAGTCGGCGTGTCTCACCGGGGCTGCTGTGCGAACAGGAACAAGCGCGACGCCGCCCAACTCCAGCCCCCGCACGCGGCGACCGCGAACCGCTCCCATCCTCGTTGTGGTAGGTCTGGACGAGTTGATTTTTTCTCAATACAAAATGATACGAAAATAGAACAGTTTTACAGGTGTTTGTTCTAAGCGAGTTAGCTCTATTAAATACTGTCTATAGTTTACGCGTGTAGTACACATTTAAATAAAACACTTTAACGGTTCAAAACGCGATATAGTAGCCGTAGTTAAAATATGTATATAATAATCACAACTTATAAATATCGCGTTTTAAACCGGTAAAGTTTTTTATTTCAAAGCTCTATTAAACTTCAGGTTTTTTAACCATACAATACTAATGTGTTTAAAATTATTTTAGTTCCCTTTATTATTATTATATGTCAATAGGCTGCTATGGCTGCGATTTTACGCGATTTTTTAAAAATTAAAAACTTTTTTAAAATTTATTAGCAATATCTTAAACTTCACTTTATAAAATGTAAGACTTACATGATTCAATGAACGCGTGAGCAAGCAAATCACAGAAAGAATTGTCCCAAATGTGAGTTGAGGGAAATGTTCGTATGTGATCTTGGGTGCACCAAAATGCAACTCCACGAGAGGTTGCCAGCGCTCCAAGTCAAGAGCTGGATCCGCGAGTAAAGAGAGAAGGTCTGGACTGAATGACAGTAAGCAGAGAGTGGCCATGTGCAAAATTTCAAGCACCCTGTAAACATAAGTATGAGACATGTACATTTCAGAAGTGTTTTCAATACCTAACATTTAATAGTACACTTAAGTGACTCACAACTTTACTATAAGCTAACATATACTTATAACTTTCAAGGTTGCCTGGAAGAATCGCTTTTTAGTGATAAGGCCGCCGTCTCGCTACAATTTTTTTTGGAGTCTCTTCAAATTAAATCTTAGACTTGTAATATACTTGTGGTGTCAATAAGGTATTTTTTGTTTGTTTGTATACCTGTGCAAAGCAGCAGCCGAGGGTTGAGTACTATCATCAGTACCGTGAAGGCCCGCGTCAGATGACCGTCGTGAACGCAACATTAACATTACACATTGGTACACGCAAGCACTGATACTCCGCTGTAAATTAAAGAAAATATATCTTTATATTGTTTTAATAATAATTATTAAAGTACATACAAGTACATAAATAATAATTGGGGAATAAAAAATAACCTAACTACTACTAGATATGTTTTACTACTTCTACAGGGAAAATTAATTTTAGGAATAAATAATAATTTAATAAATAGTATAAATATATTTAAATGAAACACTTTAACGGTTTAAAACGCAATATATTAGTTAAACTTATTTGAAAATTATATTTAACTTCGGCCCGACGTCTCCCCGTAAGCACGGCTGCTGCAAAGCGAAAACGTCGGGCCGAAGTTAAAAATCATTTTCAAATAAGTTTAACTAATATATTGCGTTTTAAACCGTTAAAGTGTTTTATTGAAATGTGTACTACTCGGGTAAACTATAGACAGTATTTAGTATAAATATATAAAAGTTGTTGAGTCTTACCATTATGTGTATAAGCGAGTTCAAATTCAAAAGCCGCCATCTCTCCTCAAATTTAACCAACTGAACAACAAGATTCAGCGTCGATGCGCACAAATTCAACGCTTCTGTCGTGTACATCTGTCGAGGGAGAAGAATGGCTTCAACCAAGTGCTCCAAGTGCACGCCCACAAACGTTATCGCGTCTCCAGCAAAAAACTGTCCATGCTTCATCACCATCATCGATATGAAATCCAAGCTATACCCATACACCTTCCACCACTCTTGCGGAGTCCATACGGTTTTCTTTCCGTTGCTGTTCATTTCAATTTTAGGCGGCAGCAACTGCAGCCATAAGAACTGGTCGACATCACTCAATAGCAAGTCTTTCGAAAAGGGTCCTCTGGCGTACGCGGTCAAACACCTTAGCGCAGCCAAAGAGGTGTGTCGGTGGTGTTTATTCTGCAACGTGATTTGCAAGCAGCACAGTAGCTTATTTATGAACTTCGTCGATTGAAACCACTGTGACAAGCCAGAGAAGACGTCATCGTATAACTCCAAGCACTGTTCGAGCATCGCCAAAGATAGCACTATAGGTGGCACTTCGCCCCCGCTTTCCGTGACTTTAACTTCGTCCTTTATATTATCAAAGAGTTTTTGAAGCTCCAAACTATTAATGTTCGTGACGGACCTTATGATGCTTTGAGCTAAAATGCTGTTAGCTTTGATTTCGTAGTCTAGAGTGCTTATCGCTACTGTCCCGATAGATAGCACGGATCTGATCGCTCTGGGATGTAAATTTTCGTAAAATGTGGCAACGTTTGATAGTAAGCTATCTATTTGCTTGGCACTTGCTTTTCGGTTGTCGAAACAATCGGCTTTCCAATTGGCCAGCGTGATCACGTAGAGTTCTGCAAGAATGACAGTCAAACGACCGTCCTTAAGATCGTCCAGCTCGTTCAAAAGTGCTTTCATACATGGCGCGACCATTTTGACTTTGTGAGCTATGTTCAAGCTAAACGGAAGGCACTTGCAGAGGATAGTGGTGAAATCCTTCCATGAAGTCAATAATCCCAGCCAAATAGGAACTTTATCTGTCGATTCCTCCTCTGAACCGCGGCCCTTGAAGGAAAATATGAACTCGATCCAGTTGTCCAGGTGCTTTTTGTTAGTATCGAAAAACGATTCGAGCACTTCCTTGAAGCTCGGTTCAAGTTTCTCACGGGAGACAAATAGTTCGATGCCGAGAACATTGAATATTTGACTGTAAGTTCTTAGACCGGGGACGATGTTGCAAAATAATGGGCTCGTAATGTGCTCCCAGAATTTTGGATGTTCACGCAGTTTCTTGACTAGAATTTGCATATTGTTCTTCCAGAGGGCGTGGAAAAGAGCCATTACGCATCCGAGAATTGGACTGTGTAATAATTTCGGATCCTGCAATGTATAAAAAATTAGATTTTATTGTAGTTTGTTTTGAAAAACAGAGCATAAAAGAAGGTTGGGTTAATAACGAGTTTTTATGTTTTTGTCGTCCTTTAGACACGACTTAGTATTTTAAAAGAGATCAATTAATAAATTTAATTATTGATTTAGTTTTTCTTTGATCATGAAGTCAATGGTTCATTATATTCGCAGCACGTAAAAAAATTGAGCACTAAGTAGACATATACCAAACTTATCATCCCATTGCAGACTCAGTATAGGGGTCTTAAAAATACTAACCGATTTAATGGTTCCTAAATAGTCCGCCATGTATCCCAATATTCCCTCAAAGGTAACATCCGTTTCCGAGCTTTCTGTCTCCTTCTCCTTCTCTTTTTGATCTGCCTTTGCCTTTTCGTGGTTCATCATGAAGAAAGCCTCTGTGAGACCGGGCTGTTTGTCGATACAGGTTTCGACGAACTCCAATACTGCCACTTTGAGTTCAATGGTTTCGTATTCATCGCGCAACCTATCTAGGAATATGACGCGCACTTGATGGGCTGTCATGTCCAATAACGCGAAGAGAGACATTTGGAAGCCCTGGAATAAAAATAATCAATAAGTTAAATACAGTCTGTAGTTTAGGCGGGTAGTACACATTTAAATAAAACACTTTAACGGTTTAAAACACGATATATATTACTTAAAATTATTTTATTAGCAGCCGTGGTATCCCCGTGACTAGGGCTGCTGCAAAGCATCCGAAACGTCGGGCCAAATTCAAAATTGATTTTTAAATAGTTTAAAAAATATATATCGCGTTTTAAACCGTTAAAGTGTTTTATTTTTAATCTATAAGTTATTGTAAGAACCGATACATACAATAAAAACTTTTTTCTCACTAGTACCTCAAAAAACTAAATATTTCTTTATATAGTCTTGTATGGTAAAAAGTAGAATGTGGGTACACTTTTTTGACTAATAATTTGAATTGTTTTTTTTTGAGGTTTGTCAATGCCAACATCAAGGAAACCTAGACATTTATTTAGTGGTAGGAGTATCGCAGGAAATCACCCTTAGATTGCGAACCAATGTCTTCCCGAATATCCAAATCCAAAATCGGTCGACAGCTTAGTAAAAAATATCTTCAATGTTACATAAAAGTATCTTACATTAGCAAACTTCTTCAGTAATCGACAGCTGAGCGTAGCCAAACTGCTATTGAACGCATGGTTAATGTATCCAGTTATATTTGGAACCACCTTCAAACTGTCCACCTGCTTGTTCTGCGCAAAGATTAGTTGCTCCAAAGGGCTTACAGTTGCTTCCCTGAAATATTTGTTTCAGTCTTACATGAGCATCGTTACTTTCAATGTTAAAATTAAAAATACATCTTAGATTAAAAAATGTTTAGGACGTGAACCGACATCCACAGCGTTCCGTGCTGTTGCTCTAACCAATTGAGCTACCGTGGCCACGGTGCACAACTAGACGTCATCGTTGATTTTTTCCAACCTATTGAAACTTGCCCCTCTCGCGTCAACCTTAAAATTAATTATAAGACAGTTTCCCCTACGTCCATATTTTCTGCGTTCGTTTCACAAATCGCGTTTATTTACAGTTAAGTAGTTTATCACGCCGCGTCCGCCCGAAACTATTATGTTTCTTCTGGATTCGAATCCTAGTCCTCACGCGCTAAAGGCAATGTGTTTGCAACCATTGAGCACCATCAATAATGTTGCAAGCACGAGCACAAATTATTATTTTATATCTAAAGATAATTCAGCCATACAGAACATAATTATTATGTTTATTAATATTTTAAGTAATTTTTTACCCAACTAGAGCCTTATCCCGAAGTGCGAAAATGATGATAGCGATGCATCGTTGCAGTGTGAATGTATATTGATAAGCAGAGCCAGAAACCCAGTTGGTGTCTTCGTGGATAAGACGTTCCAGGGATTCGTTACCTTAAAAAGCAAAAAAAATAAAATTGTACTCGGGCAAGACTTGAACCGGCGTCGTCAGCGTTACGTACTGTTGTAACAAAAATGATCTTCAATAGCTACTGAGTCAATGACTCGGTAGGTTTTTTTTCAATATCTTTTTGAGTTTTTATCTCCGTATAACTTACCTATAGAAACAATTTTCAGTAACTCCAGAGCGTTTTCAGTATTGAGCAGTCCGTACACACACGTCTTCCGTAGAGTGACGGCACTAGGCGTTTTATCGATCTGATGCAGCACCGAGGTGAAAAACATTGAGCACTTCTCTATAAGAGAACGCCTCTCTGTAACCGTTCGGTACCGCCACCCATAGACGTTTGGAAAGACTTCTCTTAGTAGTAGTACGAGGCCTGGCAGAAGAATTTCCGTTACTATTCGCTCGTCTACCGACTCCTAAAAAAAATTTATTAATAACACAAAATATTGCGTTAATTACTGTTATCAACATTATGTATAAGTTAAGAAATAGTTAAACAGTCACATATGTTAAAAATAGTAATTGATTCAAGTAAAAATTAACTTAAACATTTGTCACGTGATACATAACGCTCCTGATTGGTCGGTCGGTAGTGTTAAAACTGTTCTATTATCAGCATTAATAAATAAATAACTTTTAATCTCAAATTATTACTTCAATCACTGTTAAAATGTAAAGATTTGGTACAAATGTATGTAGATTGTAGCTCATATGATCGACATAAACTAAGAAAGCCAGTAAAAAGTTAGTCACATTCTTATGCAGTTTCACAATTTTGATAATTAAGGCGCTAAATCTTTGCCTTGCCAATGAGACTCTACATACCTTTTGGAAAGCACAGAGCATATCTATATAAGCACTGAGGAAGCCGTAACTTCCACTCGGTTGCTCGATTGTGACTAAATAGGCCCCAACAGCTCCGGACTCCAGCGAAGCTCCAGTTGCGTACTCCGCATGAGACAATTGGCGCTTCGTCACTCGGGGTAGAAGACCAGTGTTTATCAATCTATAGAAGTGACATAAGATATTATTGTTGTAATGTTAGGAGAGGTATCCGGAAAATTAGGCGAAAGTCCAGTTTTTGAGCTATTTCTTTGTTTAGAGTCGAAATTTCTGAATGTCCATAGTAAAAGTAGGTCGACAGACCATGTGGAATTTTACTTTTTTTTTTTAAATAACCGCACAATATTCCATCTTCCTCTGTCATAAAAATAATTCAGGATATTTAGCCATCACAAGTGGACGACATCATCGAATGATGATTTTACAGATTTGTCAAGTAAGCAAAGACTGAGTCACCCAGAGTAACTAAAACCCAATTATGCAAAAAATTTAAGTAGTGACGAAATACTCACCTCAAATGAATTTCACGAGAAAACAATGGTATCAGTGCAGTACACACTTTAAGACACTCAACTAGTAATTGCAAAGGTGGACTTTCTGCTCTCATAAACCTGACCAGCACGTCAAACACCCCTTCACTGGGCGCCACTAGACTCTTAGGAATCTCCTTGTCACCAACTAATGCCAACAAAATTCCCTTCAAGACTTTCGTCCCTTCATACACTCTGTTGAGGGTCGTATTGATATCTTGGTGCCGCTGTTTCCTATCCAATGCTTTCTCTATTTCGCTGTTAAACACTGTCCAATAGGAGTACGGTGTGCGGAAATGTATCATGGTACCATGCTTTCCTTCTACAATAGTGGCTCTAGAACCAGCGTCGATCCGATATGAAGGGTCCCCAAATGGGTAATAGTCTCTACCAAGAATTGCATCCTCCCCTTGCAGTGATGTTATAGGTACCATTTGTGGATTGTATAGCTCTGTAAACACTGGCAGATTTTTAAGTTCAGCCAGCAACTGAAATCGTAAACTTGAAATCTTTAATATTTTCCCATGTCTTTGCACACGATGGCACTATATAAGTTTAAAATCGATTAAGATAAAAAATAATCATCGATAATGATAACTTCATCACCGGGACTAGAACGGTTCAAGTTCAAGTCCCGGTCGTGTCGTATTTTTTTTTCAGTTTAATAGGTTTTTTATGTATCAGAAACGTGCCTATCATGTACTATAGTAAACTATTATGTATATAAATTATTTGTACGCTACATAAATAAAATATTTCGGCCGCGTACGTCACGGATGTCTGACCAATTACTTGCGTGTAAATAAATATAATTCATAAAACAGACACAGAAATATTGTTACCTCATGCCCCACATAAGGTAAATGAGATTTCACTACAGGTATAAAATGCATTTTCAAGTAAAATGATAATTGTTTAAAAGTTTGATTTTTGTGGGGTTTAGGTCTCAAATTTGTTGTATCATAAATATTTGTTCAAATGTAAAATATTTGCAACATACATTTCTTACACTCTTCTTCCCTGCTTGAGCTAGTCCAGCAGATAAAATAGACAGGGCATCAAAGTTATGAGGAAAATATTCTAATGCAGTATTCCATAGCGAGATTACACCGAAATTATCTTCTTTTTCCAAGAGCAACCAGAACTCTTCAGCTATTTTGGGGGATTTGATTAAATTGGCACATAGATGAATAATGCCTGGTTGGCAGCTGATAGTGCCATCTCCATCAAATTTGTTGCAGATTTCATTTAACAGGCTGAACACTCTGTGACGGAAAATATGAGTGCAGGCTGAGTCGTCCTGAAAAAATATTTAATTCTTATATGAAATAGACAATTGTTTAAATAATTCTGTTGATCAACCTTAACTATACTTACATTGAAAATTGAGTTGTCAATCATTTGTTGTAAGAATTCAAACACTCTCATTCGCAGAGCTGTCGCACCATAGTGTTGATACTGGGTTTCGAATTGTTTTAAGTGTTGTGTACTCTGTAAGTTTAAAAATTTGGAAGTTATAAGGTAGAGTTTTAAGAATATGTTTATCTGATTGTTCTGAAACCTACCTGTAAAGTCATCATCATCCACGTCATTAGCATGGGACTCTGTTCCATGCAAGGTTGTAATTTAGTGAATTCACTCTCAACTAAGGACTTAGTGCCTTCTATCCATGATGATATATTCTTACTGTTAACAAATATATAATTTACATATTAATAGAGAATAATTAACTATACTATAGCAAAATGCCTGTTTGCCCTAAAGGACATAGGTGTATGATTGATTTCCTTCGGAACAAGTAGTTGATCAGACTTCTGTACCCAACCAAAATAATTAACAAGTTATTGTTGTTACTCAATACCAACTCACATACTTACATTTTCTTACTATCACATATCACTAAGAATAATCCGATTTCCATATAAAGAATCCTTAACGTCATCTCTCTATGTCTATCATCCAAAAGATCATTGAAACCCTGATTCTTGCCAAAATCATGTTTTCTAAACAATTTAAAAAGACTAATAAACTCTTCTTGTGAAATATCATGTTTGTCTGCTATTAACATTAAGGTCTGTAAGATAGCAACCTGTTCCCTTAAGTTAGACTTAGCCCAGTCTTGTCTTACTGTGTCACTATTAAAATCATTTTGTATTTTTCGTGCTGGTGGTGGTGTTGATAACAACTTCTCAAATTGGGTTATTAATGAAGTCTTCAAGTAATCAACCCCTATTTCATTAAAAATCCTTGTAAACTGCTCATGATATGCATGATTAACGTCACACTTGAACTCAACAATGTACTGCACAAGTTTTAATAGAAATAATCTTTCCGCATAGTAGAAATTCCAGACATTAGGTGACAATGATGTTGGTCGAGTATCAACAAAGGCAACATTCTTTAGAGCATTTGAAGATGTTCCATGTGATATGTCACATAAATAATGACTTATTAAATCCCATATTTGAAAGCTATCAATGTCCTGAAACAGATAATTTTAAGTAAAAATTATCAATTTGATTAATATATAGATTTAAACTATGTTGTAACTTAATTTATAATTTCGATAATACATAAATAAAATTCAAACTAGTGACTCATACTTACCATATAATGTTGAAGAATTTGGACAACATTAAGAAGTTTAGTTTGATCAGTATGCTTTGCTTGAAGTTTTGTAAAACTCTCGGATTTTGGTGATTTATAACATGCAAAACCTTGCTTTAAACAATTTATAATCTTTTTATCTTCTAGTACCAGTTTTAACTCATCACTTGTAAGACTTCGTGATGTTACCCAGCGCCAAAGACATTTCCAATATCTAAAGGCAAAAAAAGATACTTCAATAGTGGTTTAATATCTCTGAATAGATATGATTATTACAATAATATAAACACTAAACAATTCTTCTTCAAGGGTTCCTACTTGGGCTCTCTGAAACGAAACTGATGTGATTATCATAAAGAAAGAAAATACTCACGGAGTAAGTGGTTGTTCCATGATGCCGATTATTGATATAATTGGAAAAAGATGGTATATAATACCTTATCCAAATCAGTCAATAACTATTAAGATTAGAACAAAACCCTAATTAATTAAAGTTTCCTTAAATAATGGTTACCGCCTAAATGATTTTTTTAAATATAAAATGCATTTTAAAGTAACACCAACTGTGCAGTCAAGTGAGATCTTTAGATGACAGTCATGACACCCTTCTCACTTCTGTCAATTGTCAATACCTGTACAGTCTAAATAATTCAGATTAAAGTAAAAGTTTATATACTTTTTGTGTATATATAAGCTGACATAATGCATAATTATTTAAGTAGACCTTAAAAAACAGCAACAGCAACAGGCAGCAAAATAAATTTTGCAATGGAATTGTAGTTCATGACTTCTATGATTTAATCCATAGATATGTAACATGACAGCTGACATTTTAATCAAAAATCATACGGCAACATTTTATCTCCCTCGAAAAAAAATACTTTTTAACATGGCCGCATGTTGAACGAAACGATTTTCTTTACTGTTTGCCAAAATAATACCTTTAAAGCTGGTGTAGTTAGAAGCGGATAAATGTTTATTGCTGTATTACATAAAGTATTATAACATTTAAGTCGAGAGCGAATGATACCGCAGTAATTAAAAAAAACAAAGTGACGTTCTGAGAGAAAACTCTGTGTCTCCGATAGCGATTGCAAAGATGATGCATCATCCGAACATGCATCATCAGCCGATGTCTGGGCATCCACCTCAGCACTTGCCGGCTCACCAGGGCATGCCTACACATCACCAAATGCCACCGCATCAAATGCACAGGGAGAACAGGCACGTAACGCTAACTAGGTAACGATCGGCTTTTTATTATTTGATTTGCGTATTGCAGAATATACTGCTTTTTATTATGAATTTCTTCAAGACAGGTATAGAGTGTAAAATAGAAATTCTCTCAATGCGTGCATGTTTGTTTTTATTTTTGATGTGTAGGTAGGTTATTCGTTTGTTTCAGAATTCACTTAGTATAGAGCTTTCTTTTAAGAAAAAATATTTTTGTTTAATTAAAGAAAACAAGTACTTAAGTTGTTTTAAAAATATTTCAATTATTACATTTCTTCTGTAGAGATACTTATTAGACACAAATTTTAATCCTATACTCTTTTTTTGTTAAACTAGTTTCAACTGTTCCTAAGAAACTATATTAAAACATTGATGATCTAAGATCTGTGAAGGAACTAATATTACATACAAAAACTTTTTTTATATACTTAGTTGCATAAACTCGAGTTAAATGTAGTATAATCCGTATTTAATTGTCTTCATTTAATGTTCATTTTAGAACCATTCCACTTTGACGTACACACGTACGATAAATCCCTTAAACATACATTACACTGAATAATACAAATATTCTATCTCCTTTATATCTTACTTGAGATTTAACAATGGGTCACTCAAACATTGACACTGTTCAATAAAAATAAAATCCCTCTGTTTTATCCGTCTATAGACTGGCACATATTCATATGCAAATAATGTGTAATTTTTGGATATGTGGAGGGTCCTTTGCGGCTCTCTTTGTTACCTAAACTGGTCATGAATGAAACATATGACGGTGCTTTTGATCCCGACTGATTTAGTGCTGAATATAAGTTTTGTGTCCAGCCTGATATATCACATCTATTGAAGAAACGGGCAGTTGAAATAACAGTACTGTGTCGGGCAGCTTGCTATGTGCATCCATAGAAAGTTGCTCAAATTTCTCATGAACTTTTATTAAGTGTTGAGTTATATACTTGTTTTATGATATTTTCTTTGATGTTTGTGTTATTTTATTTGATTACGTGTTTTTTTGGTTTTTACTTGTGTCTTAAAAATGTGGTTTCACTTGAGTAACTTGACAAGGATTTTATTTAACTCAAAAACTTTTAGTAAATAGTGTGTTAATAGGTAAATATGATTACTTATTAAATTTTAAATACTTTAGAGTTATTTTATGAATATTGTGGAAATAGTTTTTTTATTTGTTTTTGGTCGTGTGACATAGATGTAGCACATATTTAGAGCTGATTAGTTGCTTAGACATATTATGTGGTTTTATAATTATATTTCATAAAAGTGAGTAAATGAAATATAGGTAAAGGGTTATTGAGTAAAATGTTTTTTGATGATAGTGTTTTGCCGTGTTACAGGGTACCACTTGGTCCTTCTGCAGCTGGTGGGAGTATGGCTGGCCATGGACAGATGAGTGGCATGGGTACTATGCCAGTGCCTCCTCCGCACCACGCGCCGACCCAACGTCCGCCGCACGCGATCCGCGCAATGCACCATGCCCCCACACAACACCACAATCTTCCACCGGTACTTCTGGTCTTAATAAAAATCTAAAAATATATGACATAGCAACACTTTAAAAGAATTCTACACAATTCATAACACTTTTTTTAATGGATTAAATACATAACTTTGCATTTTCAAAATATTTAATTGTTTTGACAGTCATTTACAATACATATTTGATTTTGTTAGCTATAAATAATATGTGTATGTTTTTCTAGCAACAGAATCGCAACCTCCGACGTCCATACACAATGAACAGCGGGTATGGGACTGTGCCACCATATGGACACCCACCACCACATGCTCATTCAGACCATAATTCTCACCAGTCAACTGGTAAGTCTTGATAAATTTAATATTCTGTAACCGAACCTGGAGTGTATTGGAAATCTAGCCACATGGTGTATGAAAAATAATAACCTAATAAAGGTGGTGATTGGTGAAATGGTCAGTAGTTTATATGAGCTGAATTTATAAAATACATATTTATATTATATGGAGAAAAAACAAAGTTAAAATACAAAACCCATTTGAATAAGTCTTGCATTTATTTCAATTGAACTTTCAAAAGAACAACCGCAAGAAATACTTGGTAGGTTGGTTGCTTGTTGCTATTATTGCTTAAGAAGCTACTGTAAATATAGGTCTGTGCAGGCCACCTTCTCCAATACGGCCGTTGCAGGCAAAGCTAAGTTCAGACTTTGGTCAGTAATATACTTTACTAAATTAGTTTTGATATTACTTTTTTATTTGCTATGTATTTAAGTTCGTCAATTGTAGAATAATAAAGATACTACGTGTTTCCATAGGAGCATAGCAGCCTTTTGGCATGATTTTTATAAACTAAAGCATGAATATAAATTTTTTTACACACTGGTTAATATTAAAATTGTTTCCATAACTAAAACTATTCTTATTGTTTTTTTACAAAATTTTTTTTTTTAAATTTTTTTTTTTTTTTAATACAAAATAATTTTTTAAAAAACCCCCCCCCCCCCCCCCCCCCCCCCCCCCCCCCCCCCCCCCCCCCCCCCCCCCCCTTTTTTTTTCCCCCCCCCCCCCCCCCCCCCCCTTTTTTAAAAAAAAATTTTTTTTTTTTTTTTTTTTTTTTTTTTTTTTTTTTTTTTTTTGTTTCCCCCCCCCCCCCCCCCCCTTTTTAATTTTTTTTTTTTTTTTTTTTTTTTTTTTTTTTTTTTTTTATTAAGGTTAAATAAGGTTTGTAAATTCTGATTTAGTTATAACATCAATGCCAACGAACACAAACGTATCAAGCACAGAGCAGTCGCAAAAAGAAGACACCGTCGGAGGTAGCCTAAGTGGAGCAGAAATGGAAAGCGACAATGACCCAAAGACGGGCGCTGGCGAGGGTGAGGCGGCTCGCCAGACGCCCGCGCAGGCCAACAGTAAAGAGAAGACGCCTATGTGCCTGGTCAATGAACTGGCCAGGTACAATAAGGTAAGAAAGATACATTTGATTAAAAACACTATAAAAGAATTATCAAAGCATATTTTGACAGAGTTGTCAAATATATACTTTTTTATTATAGAGGAGGATAGACAAGGATAGACTCATCTAATCAAGATGCGCTGTCGATCTATAATGGCTTTGGATATTCGGAAATCCACAAAGCGAAACGTGATTAAACTTCACGGCTTTTTCATCTGTGGACGGTGATTTGTGACCCGAACGGAATTTCGATATTCCTACCGCCCATTTAATATCCAGATTTCCAAACCAATAGCATGTTTCAGAAAAATTATAAATTGATTAGAAAACAATTTGGACCCGGTGAAAATCGAATCCACGACCCGTTGATTATTAATCGTACATACTTGTAATGGTAGCACCATTACACCGAGCCCGTCAATAACATCGGTTTTCGTATTTGAATTGCGATTATATTTTTTGTTAAACATTTATATACATATTATGTGAAACATGCAACTATTCTTACCTTACTTTACCCTGGTACAGGTATAAGAGATTTTCAGTAATTCAAACTGAAATGTTTTCTTATAGATTAAACATCAATATCGCCTCACATCAGAGACTGGGCCCGCTCACAAGAAAGTATTCACAGTGACACTTCGATTGGGTGATACTGAAGAATATACTGCTGAGGTAGGACTTGTGTGAGATTTAGAAGTTACTTATGTCAACACGATTAAACATGATAATCTACATGAGCACAGTGACTGAAAATTTTTAACATAATTCTTACATGAATAACAGTACAAATTCATTTTCGCATTAGTAATTTGCACATTTTTATTTTCCTCCTTATTAAAAATCATGTTTTTGGTTACTAGGCCACTCTGCCTCTAGCAGCCTCAAATAAGAGTAAGATAAGATAGAAATCCGTTTTGTTTTGAAGGAATGCCTCAAAAACATCCTTTCCTTTTGGAAATTAAAAACTTTTTGTAAAAATGTTCCCTAAGTTTAATCATTGTACATATAACTCAACAGGGGTCCTCAATAAAAAGGGCGCAGCACGCGGCTGCCAGTGCGGCTTTGGGTGGAACCCGATACCCGCCGCCCCCGCCTCGGGCCGCGCCCTCTCATGCTGCACATTCACATCACCACAGACACGCAGGTATATATTATTATCTATAGTCCATGCTATAGTCTCCATCCCTGTTACTAGTAAATAATAACATGGAAAATAGCATTATTACTTTACAGTGCTATTAGCAATCAATCTCAATTGGCGAGAGCCCGTTGGAAGCAGTTTTGTTTTTTTGAATAAAATGTCACTATGAAAAAATACTCGAAGCGTTATTTGTCATTGAGAGTTGTTAAATAAATGAATGATGATTTGTTTTGTTAAAACATCCGAAACTATTCTTAAAATAAGAACTTTGTAGTATGCTTTAATATTTTTCACATATTATTGACACGGTAGCTCAATTAGCAACAGCACGGATAGCTGTGTTTGCCGGTTCAAGTTCTGACCAAGTCGTAAATTTTTGTAAGTATGAAATCTTAAGTTAGTATTATTATATCTCCAGGAGCCGTGATGCCGACAGTTGAGCTGAATGCGTTGGCAATGAAGCTGTGCCAGCCTGCAGTGTACACACCAGTTCCAGTTCTGCCCGCCCCACGTGCTAGAGCGAGGCTACCTCCACCCTACCGCCTACCTTTCATGCCTCCCTACCCACATCCCCACCCCCCACGTCTTATGGATCCTTCGCCGCAAATCCCCTACAGGTACGAAAATTGACAAATTCATAATTATTATATTATTGTTATGGAGGGGGAAAAGAAGTGCTGTCAATCATTTTAGAATTTGGACAACTAGTCTCGTGCAAAACGCTATAACTTTGACTGGGGCACATTAAAACCCATAATTTACACATTCTTTGTTTTATTATGCACTTCAACTCATGATATATGTACATAACCAATCCAAAGAATACCAGCTTTTAAAAGGCTTCTCGAAGGTTTTAGTATAATATTTAGCAGTTCTATTTATCTGTAAACATATTTCCAAAGAAATATTTTAATGTATTATTTAAATTATTTTAATCAGGGTTCGAGTGTGTGTGGGAGGGCGGGCATGGCTGGGCGAGGGTACGACCCCCCAAGCAGCGCGACACGATGCAGCTGCGCGTGCGCTTAACGATCTACGTCCGCACCACGAAGCACCATTGCCCGTCCATCCGGATACACCGGGTAAATTTTTCTTCTTAAACATTAAAAAAATAACGATTCCAGTATCAGATGCCATTCAATATTCATATAAACTGAATACTTCTCATTGTATTGTACATGAAATCAATTTGTTGATATGAATTATTTTTTAACAATTTAAACAACGTAGCATTCAAGTATCTCATCAGTTCAAGTATCTTATTTTGTATTTAAATCAAACTTAATTTATATTTTGCTATTAATTTTAGTATGTGACCAGTTAATATTAGAACCTCAATAATTCAGGTGAAAGCGAAGCAGATTTGTTGAACTCTGAAGTGAAATCCCCCGTGTCACTGGTGCACGAGTTGGCTCTCAAAAGGAATCTCAATGTTACGTTCTCCGTTAAGTCTGAGCGCGGCCCGCCTCATATGCGAGTAAGTGGGGAACTGATCAGTCTCATAAATTGAATGAGGCTTTGGCTTTCGGGCGATATTAGCGTATTGGGAAAATGTTTAGCAGCCTATGATAATATCAAGTCAAAATCAAATCTGTCGTTTCTTTTTTCAATTTAAATAATTTATAATTAACATAATAACCACTACACACTCTTCAAAATCCAAAAAGTGCTTTAAATTATCTATTTTTTGTATGATGTGATCTAATAGTAATAACTAAGAGGATTTGTACATATTTATATAAATTAAAAATCTAATCTAAAAAAATACGACTCGAGCGAGTTCGAGCTGGCATCAACAGCGTTGCGTGCTCTCTAACCAATTGAGCTACCGTGTCATATAATGCCATCATGTGCCATAACATGTTCTCAAATTTATTTATATATGTTACAGGTCTTCATTACCATCTGCAAAGTAGGTGAAATGGAAACGGAAGGCGAAGGCAACGGCAAGAAGGTGTCGAAGCGTCGCGCGGCGGAGCGCATGTTGGACGAGATGCGCCGGCGCTGGCCCGCTGCGGCGCTGCGCACCCGCCCCGCAGTCGACAAGAGACGGCATCCGCCCGCTAAGAAGAAGCCAAGGAATTTAATAAAGGTAAAGACAAGACAAGTAAAGTAATTACTTCACATGGATAATGTTATTTGTAAATTTTATTACTTCTATTCCTTCGCCCCTTCCTTACATACTGTCCTGATGTTCTAAATTATTGAAATGAAATTACAGGAGGGCACCGCGGGTGGCAACCCGGTAGAGAGTGGCGGTGGTGGTGGTGGTACTCCGGACAACCCGATCTCTCGGCTGGCGGTGGCGCGGCACGCGGCGCGCGCACGGTCCCCGCAGTACCGGGTGCTGGAGGAGCGAGGTGCAGCTCGTCGACGGGAGTTCCTGGTGCAGTGTGATGCTCCGCCGCATAGTGCCACTGGTCTCGGCCCCAATAAGAAGACGGCCAAACGACGAGCAGCGCATAGTGAGTTTTAATTATGAAAATTGTAAAGACACACTTAAAAAATAATAGACAATAGAAGTATGAAAAACAGAGAGCCAATTGTAATTTCCCATACTTCGATTTTGATATTTAGATAAAACAAAATACGTACAGAAGAAAGACATTATGATAAACCTTCTAAAAAAGTTAGGAACTACAATTGGTACATTAATATCTCTTAGTAATCAATAAAATATATAAATTTATGAAAAATTTTATTACAAAGAAAACGTCTTAGCCTTACTAACCGGGTTGATGTTTAGTATTTGAAGAACTGTCGTTAATAGAGTAACCATAGGTTATGCTTTTTTAAAGGTTTTAATTACGAATTAAATGTATAAAATAATTATATAATCTTTGTTTTTTTTAGACGTACTTCTAGCGATGGAAATGGCAAACGGAGGAGACCCAACGTCGTTGAATACTAACACAGAACCAACTACAAACGGAGACATTAAATCCAACAGTGAAGCCAAACGAAAGGTAATAATTGAAAATTTTCTGAATGTCAAATATATTTAGTTTGAAAACTTTAATATTTTTCACATGATGGCATTACATAATTTACAAGTATATTTAGGTTGTGAAATTTCACAACACAGGCGGGTTTGAATTATCATCCACAGCGTTCCGTACTGCTTTTCTAACCAATTGAGCTACCGTGGCCACGGTGCACAAGGACATGGTAGCTCAATTGTGAATCTCGATAGGTTTTAATAAAATTTGCTTGACACATTTTTGTTTCTAACAGGAGAGCGAGAGCAGCAATGATATGCGACAACCGGTGCCCGGTGTTCTCATGGTGGATTATCATGCTAGGACTGGTGGTCAATCAGCTCAGCCAAATGGTATTTTCTTTATTCTATCGCAAAATCACCCAAACTTCATGATTTTCCAGATCAAATATAGTACTATAAACTTTTGTTATTTACAGGAGTGAATGTAAGCGAAAGCAGTGCGACGAGTGGTGGGGGTAATTCTCCTGGTGCGAAGGATCAGCTCATGTATCTAGCGCAGCTTCTGGGCTTCACAGTACAATTCTCTGACTTCCCTAAGGTATTTTTAGCTTAATAAATTCTATATTAAAATATTGCATGTAGCTGAAGAGTTCTCGAGAACCACCAGTCCGATTGCATTCTTCCTTTTTTTTTAGGTATCTGTAGACCATATGGGCAGAATAAGGAATCTAGTTATGATATAAAAAGGGCTAAAACCAATAAAGTATCATAGGATTATTTCGTTTTAATAAAACACCTTAAATGGTTTAAAAGGTTACATTGAATAAATGTATGGTGATGATCAACTATAAGTTTTATCTATTTAACTAATACTAGTGTCTGTAGTTTACGCGAGTAGTACACATTTAAGTAAAACACTTTAACTGTTTAAAACGCGATATATTAGTTAAAATTATTTGAAAATTATTTTTAACGGTTTAAAATTACCTTTATATTATACGTTATACATTTTTCACGGCTGGGTGTCAATGCTAGAATCATAAAGTAAAAGGTATAATAGAATATACAAATAATTGCAGCGCAACCACGGTGAATACTTATCGTTGGTTTCTCTGTCGACGGAACCTCCGGTGATGTGCCACGGCGGCGGAGCGTCGACGGCGCATTCGCACGAGCAATGCGCACGCGCCGCTCTACGAGCTCTGGCGCTCATGGGCCTAGATGCGCCAGCTGCGCAACTTCCATCCAACGCCAGTAACTCAACGTGAGTATATTTTTTGAATTCACCTTGGTTTATATACATTTTTACGATACTTGTGAGGAGTATGTATATAATGTAATGAGCGTTTTTTTAAAAATGGAAAATAGCGTTGGTATATTATTTTACCTACATTTTTGTTAGTTTTTTTAATAATAGAAGACAGACAAGCACATAGGGTTTACTTTATGGTAGGAAAAGTTGCCCAGCCATATTACATTTAAACAAGATGTGCTGTTGGCCTTTTATGGCTTTGAATATTCGGAATAGTAACAATATTTTAGAAATAATAACAAGTCTATGTTTATGGAAATGTTTATATGTTCATCTTAAAGTCTTCTGACACTGAAATTTGAATACAATATTTATTACACAATTGGTACCCATTTAAATTTCTACATAGTGACAAATATATTACAGAATTCAGAGCCTGCCAGCCGGAACCAAGGGCAGCGTGATCAGTAACGGCATCGCCGAGTGAAAACCAGACTTCGAAGCGCCCTTTAATACCTTTCTCCACAAATAAACGATATTGCAATATTAACAAGTGAATATTTCACAGCGAGAAGTGTCATATGTTTGGGACTCGTTCTATCAATGTACTACAAAATTTCCACCTTATGACATTTCACAAAAGTATTGGATCTCGGGCCTCACAAAAGAATTTCCTATTACAAATGTATATTTTTTTTTCTGTTTAAGTAAAAGAACACTCCCTCGTGTACTTTATCATGTATTTATTTATCGGAATCCGAGCGACAGGGAAGCGTTTCCAAGATCTTTTCAACTATGTAACTTATAGGTTATGTTTAATATATTTTATCCCTAGCGATAATTGCACTGCGTGCAGCTTCGATGTTAGGATTAGCGATTAATAGAAATTAATTAGATAAAATCGAATCTACTTTGCCAAAGTTTGGCAAAACTGACGCTCTTGAAGTTAGCGTTAAGTAAGGTACATGTAGAAACGGTCGGAGTGGCCACTTCGGAAAGTACAAGAAATTCATATCAAAAAGATAGAGGTATGTGAAGTGTCCACTCTGCAGTGTTGTGGTCTATGACGTGTTGCATCATGCGGCCATGGTGACTCGTAGCTTTGCTTGGACGCTATCGCCCCCCTCCGCGCGTTGGACCTTATTTCAAAAGCGCCTAACGGATGGCTAAGGCCGTTGTTGAGTGTTTGAACTATGTCTCGTGTAGGATGATATGTTTGACAGTACTAGCAAAAGTGCTAGAGAACCTATATCGTATTATATTAAAAAGTACCCCCATATGGTCAAGTGCCTTGCAATTAAATAGAACGATCAATAATGGACTTAACTTATTATATTATACTGTGTATTCATAATTATTTTTGGTCATTATTGCACATTTATAAAAGAATATGCAATCTTTTATGTCCAAAAAGTAAGTGTAAGTTCTTCGTCTTCTATGTATGCAATTTACAATTTTTCAAAATTGTCATCCTATATTAGACAAAGTACTAAACTTGTTGCTAGTTGGTCGGTCAGTAAATTGTTTATATAGCACTCGCCACATGTTAATAATTACGAACGTCGCGTGAAACGGTTTCTTTATATGGTTTTGTGTATATAGAATGTTGTAACCGCAGGTTTGAGATCATAGAATTGGTGGCTGGTTGTACGAAATAGGGCCCATCGACCCACTTGCTCCAAATTCCCACCAGACTTACCAGACCGCGGAGTGTGGCGATCAGCTGTTTGGCCTCGATTTTTATCTATGACCCTACGCTATGAAATGTGTAATTTTAACGTTAAGACCTTTGAACACCTAATTTTACTTATTATTTAAGGTAGGTTCGGAAGGGCTCGTCAAATCGTCATGTTTAATGTTGTATAATTGATTAGTTTTTGTCTATTCGGGCGTTAGAGCGCTAGCGCTCGCCGCCTTTGCGGCTAGACCAATGGTGCCCCTAAAAGGGACATTGTTTAGTTGTCCACAAATGCACTACAATCATAACTAGATACCAAAGCGGGTAATGAACTGTTTTCTTTTGGCTCGTTCTCTAGTTTATTTTTTGTTACTGCGTTTTATGGGTGGTCTATAAAAGGCATTGATTAGAAATGTTTAAGGTTAAATCATCGAATAACAGACGATTTCTCGAACGCACATATTCTGTAAGTGAATGTTGTTTGAAGAATTATGTACTCTTAGTATAAATGGATTTTTGCGTACTCGCTTGTACATTTACATCTGATCGGCTATAGTTTTTATTTATTTAGATATACTTCTGTTACTATTAACGTTATGGACCCCGATCATTTGTGAGCCAATTGTACATTTCATTGTAATGGGTCCGGTTGTCTTTTGTTAATTTAAAGAATAGATCCACGTTAAGAGTTAAGCTAACTAAATCGAGGCCACTTGTACAATGTCTTCATGTTGTATGTTGCACAAGTAACAGAGCATAAAGAAATTAATTGTTATAATAGAGAAAACGCCACGAGGGCAAGGTTTTTTTATTTATTGAGTAAAACTAATTTTATATACTACGATACTTATACGAACGGAGCAAGTCCCAAGTTACTACATGCATTGTGTAAACAGAAATAAAGGGAAATGTTAAATATTGTTTTTGTATTTCCAACGAAAATAAATAGCGATAAGAATTATTTTAAAACCCTTAAGTCGGATTTGAATTTTGCGTATTACCGTGTACGAAAATAGTACACATTTATATAAAAACACAACTGTTTAAAACGCGAAATATATTAACTTAAATTGAATAAATATATTTCACGTTGTAAACTGTTACGTTTTATTAAAATGGATTTAATATTGTCAGATGTATGCTAAATAGTGTAAAGAAAGAGATAATATTGTATCCATCTAATCAAAAAAAACGGAATCCATAGGGAGTGAAAAGAATTGCAACTGATTTAATAGACTGAAATAAATGATGCTTATATTATGTGTTAAAAATAATATCTATATGTGTTAGTATATTGATCGTTAGAATTAGTACTTAATTAAATAATACCTGGATATTGGTTAAAAGAAGAACTATAGACAGTATTTAAAGAAGAACGAATCAACCAATACCTATGCATCTACCCCCCTCGCAAAAATTACTTGTCATTTGGTGCGAAAGAGAGTGCTGCTAGGCTCAATTCAACCAAAAATGCACACAAATAAAAACAAAGTTTATTTAATAAAAAATAGTCATGCGTAACAATATCACCAGTCTCTTAAAACCCGAGGTAATCTTCAGATGCGTTTGCGCTTGCTTATTTACATAATACTATTGATCTCGTGGTTCTAATACTTTGTTTTGGAATATGGCGGTTACTTCACTTCTCGAATTTGAGCCCCAACGTCTGGGTCATGAAGCACAGGATGTCTGTGTGCTCCTCGATCTGAAATGACAAAATGCCCAATGTGAGTAGGGGTTGGATTTAACGCTTAAACCATAAACAAATTAGTTAACTTATTTTTAATTTATTCAACTACCGCCCGACGTTTCCTTATCCACGGTTTTTGCAAAGTAGATGAAAGGTCGGATCAAAGTTTAAATAAAAAAAATTACATTGTATAATGTTTCGCGTTTTAAACCGTTGAAAGTGTTTTTTTTAAATTCACGCCACATAATTTCTTCGGTCAATATTCGGCTTCGGCTAAGTTTGCTAGCCGAAGAAAGCTTCATAAAATGGTTTGTTTATTTGGTTTATATTTCGTTATTGTCGTTAATGTAGTCTTGTGTCGTGAACATAAAGAAAGAAAACTTACGATTTTCGCAGTAGGCTTTCCGCCCCCGTGGCCGGCTTTAGTATCTATACGAGCAAGGAGCGGACGACGCTGCAACGACCCAGATACAGCGTGTTGTATCGCCGCTATGTACTTCAGCGAGTGCAGAGGAACCACGCGGTCATCGTGATCGGCTGTCAGTACTAGGGTCGCTGGGTACTCCGCTCGACTCACTATTTAGGAAAATCATATTCAAATTAAAACAAACATTCAAACTTAAACTATGTTTATAACTGTAAGAGTTTGGTTAACTTCTATTAGGTTCAATTTTGATTATATAAAAAAAAAAGGTGTCAAAACGGGCATCGAACCAACAACTTACAGCATAACAACTTAGTCAGAATATGACACACACGTCACGACACGGTACGCCACACTTTTTTCAATATTTATAAAAATAGTATTTTAAATCTAAGTCAAAAATCACGTAAACAGCAATCGCGGCGTTTGGATATGGTAGTCCGCTGATTTCGTGGACTGATCACACGACCTATGGTGTATCCAATAGGAATAATCCCTGAAAAGAGTAACTGCCCTTACCATTATCAGGTGCCTGAATGTTGTGCAGCGGCGAGTATTTGAGCAGATTCTCGAATTGCGTCTTGTTGTCGGAACTGCCGTAGTCCGATACCCAAGCGTGTCCGATTGTGAACTTTTGGAAACGTAGCATGTCCAAGACACTGAAAAAGTAATAGTCCAAAACATTTAATACATACATATTATATAATATAGTCTACTAGCTAGCTGTCAGTGTTTTCGCCGCGTAGAATAGTTATTTTGGCCATATAAGATAGACTATACTGTCGCGGACATTTTTTAAGACCATTTAAAATGCAAACATTCTTCCGTACATATTTTTTGGTATCTAGAACCGTGATAGCAGCGTACGCAAGGGGTGAATAATTTTCCAAGGTTTTTTTCTACATTCCCCGCAGTTTCTTCGCTCCTATTTATGGCAGGGAGATATTTTTAAGCCACACAACACAAAAATAATTTTTCGATTTGAACTCAGTAGTCCCTGAGATTAGCGCGTTCAAACAAACAACTCTTCCTCTTTATATATTAAAAGTAATCTTTACTACCCACAACTCTTGTAGTGGGGACGAAGTTTTCAAGATATTAGATAGATAAGCCATTATTAGATAGACATTGCATTATTTACTCTTACAAGGAATTGCCCATAGTTTGTAGTAAAAGTATTAGTTATGTTTTTACTCACCCAACTTGAACAATAGCGGCTCCGTAAAGGTCTGGTCGCTGGTTGATGCAGGCGGCCACTAACAGCCCACCGTTGGAACCGCCTTGGGCTGTCGTCAGGGCTGGGCGAGTGTAACCATTTGCTTGTAAATACTCAGCCGCTGCTTGGAAATCATCGAACACGTTCTGTTTGTTAAGCAGACGACCGGCATTATGCCAGCGCTCACCGTACTCTCTGTAATTTATTGTATAATTGCTAATCCGGCTCAAAGGACCAATTTTATTACTGAGTGAAAAATGTTTAAGTCTAAAAACAACATTGATCACTGCTCTGTGTAGCAAAGGAGCCAATAGACAGATTTTATCTATGTTGGCGTAGTCAATTAATATTTAATATGAGAACTCAACTAACCCGCCTCCTCGAATATTTGGTATCGCAAGTACACCATTGAAGTGCTGCATAAATACCAGTCGGGTCACGCTAAAACTGGGTTGTACATTGATATTGAAGCCTCCATAACCATAAACAAGAGCCGGATTGTTGCCATCAAGGGCTAGATCCTAAAAATAAATATGGTTATACAGAAATTCAATACACTATTTTTAACATATTATAGTTTAAAATACAACTGAATTCACTTAAGAATTTAACCAAAAACAATAAAGGTTTTAACTATTTACAGTGAAATGTACAAACGAAAAAGCATATATATTTTAAAATATATATAAGGTCATTCTTTTGATACCAGACTCTCAACTCAACTCCATTGGTTAGATTTGTTGTGATTAGTTCTACGTTACAATTAAACCAAATTTATATTCGTTACAGGGTTAAAGTGAAATATACACAGACCAACAAAATACTAACCTTTTTGTAATTATTATAAGGATTTATATTTACCTTTTTATGAACAATAAACATAGGAACTTTTGTGCCATCTTTGCTTGAGTAAAACACTTGTTTAGCCTCATAGTGGGACGGATCAAATCCTTTGACGCTTACTTCTCTAAATATCTGAAAATAATTGTTTTATATTATATTTCAAGAAGAATCTGATATAGAGGCAGAGTAGTCTAACTGAAATTTTATAACTTGCGGTATTTATATTTTCATAGTCTTAAAATTTTAATCTACAAGAGCATAGTGACCGATTATTGTCATATTTTTTACACAAATAAAACTCCTTTTCGCCTAAGTTAATTGCACATTTTTATTTACCCCCTTATTGAAAATCATGGTTTTTGGTAATAGGCCACTCTGACTCTAGCAGTCCCATATATTCTATAGTTTTTATACTATAACTAGATGCTTACAGTTGGCTTATATGGTTGCTTCTTGAAGTCAACGTGGTAGATGATGCCAGGGGTCAGGAATGACATGAAGTGGTAAAATATCTCAGTCTGTTCCTTCTTCCCGGAGAAGCCTACAACCGAACCTACGTCCAGGTTGAATTCCTGGATTAGCTGTCCATCGGCTACACCGTGCAATTGTAGGACACTCTGAAACCGTCAATATGTTTTAGACTTTGTCTAATATAGGATGACAAGTTTAACAATAGATATACTGTAATTGTGATTAAATCGGTTGAGTTCCTAAGATAAAATACTGTCAGTAATTTATGCGTGTAGTACATATTTATATAAAGAAAAAAAATCTCTAATATTTCTTTCTAGAGAAAATATATTTGCTGTGTGTCTTAAGTACTTGTCAAAGTTAAAGTGTATCATAAATTTAATTTTATAAACTGTGCGGTTTGACACAATACCTTGACATCTCTGACGTAGTGAATGACAAGTTTGTCGTTGTCCACCGCTGACGCCCAGTCCAATACATCAGTGGGATGCTCCTGAAATATTTTATTTAATTGTCAAATATAGATAGATATATTATTGTAACAATACTAGCTGCGTCAGCGATTTTGTCCGCATAGAATAGTTACTTTGAGCATTCAGTGTTTTTAAAGATGAAGAGGAGGTTTGCTCTTCATCTCTATACATTTAAACTGTTACCACGACGTCAGTGCGTCCCGTCGTTCTTGCAAGCTAATCTTAAAAGATAGACATATGTGCGTGCTTATGCGGATTTTTTTTAGATTATCATTTCCCCTTATTTTCTCTTCTATATGTCCTCAATGAATGCTCCAGCCAACCTAAAAATATTTTTTCAATTCCAACCAGTAATTCCTGAGATTAGCGCGTTTAAACAAACAAAGTCTTCAGATTTACTAGACTAGTATAGATATAGAATAATAATCCGGTTTAAAATAATGGTTATTTTAAATAATTGTAGAAAATTTCACTCACCGGTATAAGGGTCTGCCACTTCTCTTCTGCGGGATCGTTCATATCTATCTTGATGAGCCTGTAATTCGGCGCGTTCTTGTTCGTACGGAATATGCACACGGATCCTTCATTTGTTATATACTGAAAAATTATATTTTAACTGATTTATTTTATGTTTTTTCCTTGCACAAAACATACAGATAAATCTTATATGCTAGAATGGAGTGCAATGGGCGGCCTTATCGCGAACCAGCGATCTATTCCAGGCAACCTTATATTTAGGAGGAAAAATAGGGAAAATTAGATGTGCTAGATAGACGAAACAAATTAATACAAACAAGAAATAATAGCATACAGATCTACAATAAGATTACGTCTACTGACTTAAACAAAAGCAATAAATAAGTTTAAAAAATACTTTATTATCTATTATTAAAATGAAATTATTTTCTTACAAAGGAGAACACCCAAGCATGGGGTTAACTACGGCGGTGCGGTGAAATACCGCAGCCACATAACGTCTAAACAAAATGACTTGTTTTGGCTATGGATCTTCGGAAATTCACAGATTGAAAGGCGATTAAACTTATCGGCTTTTTCATCTTGAGTTGGTTCGTGATTGGTGACCCGGATTTTAGGCGACGTCCACCGTTTCAGAATAATTATAAAAATAAAAAAAATGTTGGACCCGGTGGGGATCGAACCCACGACCCATTAAATGGTAACATATAAAACACTTACTTAACCTATGTCGAATGTAAAAATTTCGAAATTCACTTTTCCCAAGAGGTATTGCGGGCGTTACAACAACGCAATAATTTACGAGATACTATACTCGTAGTTACAGATAGGCACGCACGTACGTACAATAAAACGTGCGCATGCGCATACTGCAACATTTGAAATATCTAAACACGTCTAACCTCATAGTCAGCCTCGAAATTATGCACGATCTGCGTAAGGGGAAGTTTGCCGTCGATTTCAGGATGCTTATGAAGATCCGCGAAGAACAACAAGTTGTCGCGGCAATCGCGAACCGGACTGACGAGCAGGTACCTGCCACAGTCGCTAACCTCCGCACCGCTGTTGAAAATGATTAATGAATGATTAGTTTTTTGTTGTAACAATTCTATTAAGTTTAAATGAGAGAAGTGGCAGTCTTTTTTGTCAATAATTGGACTCTTGTTGACAAGTTGAAATCTTTGTGTATGGATCTATACTAGGTAGAAGTTGAAATGCTAGCTATAAAATACCTAATATAAGTTTAACTAATACTTTGCATTTTAAAGTGTTTTATTTAAATGTGCACTAATCGCGTAAACTACAGACAGATGTAAATTACTTGTTACTACCATACACTTCATTTTCTACAAAACAAATAAATTTTACCTACGCACGTTTATCTTCGCTCATATTCCGCGTATTAGCGTCACTGTCAACGAAAAATTGCATGTACTTTTAAGAAAAACTTATGCATTGTCTGTTGTCTACGTTAGTAGTACACATTCAAGTAATGTTATGCCTTGCAGTGGGCGTAAATTAAATTAAAAATAAGGTAACTAATATATTTCTGTTTGTAAACCGTGAAAGTAATTTATTTAATTGAGGAAAACTTGTCTAATACCAATATATCACTTATAGATTATTACACAGAAATTCCGTTACAAGCATAAGTATAACGTGCTATAAAGGAAAATGAAAACAGGGAAAGATTTTTCTAGCATCGTGAGTTTTGCCTATCGCATTGATGGGTATTTAAATATCAGATACTAATTTAAAAAATGTTCTATCTGTTGCCGAAAAAATTTTTTTTAAACAAGTATATTTAGTGCCTTTTGCTAGTTTATAAAAAATAATGGAGGATAAAAAGATTGGTAGGTACAATTGTTTATCTTGCCAATATTATATATTATTATCGATTAAAATGAAGCCATTTTCCCCGTGGACCATGGTGCAAACACATTTCTGTGTCCGTTTTACTGAACGGCTCTTACAGGCAAGTAGATCAGCATTCTGTGCCCTACCAGACCAAACACAAATTTTATTCCCAGGATTCAAACGTTTAGGCGCTAGAATCTAATATTAAATGTAGCCGGAATTAGGCCCATTTGTTATAAATTGAAAGCTACTTACATCCGCCAAAGTGGCTCTTCGGGAAATTCGACGACTATGACGTCACTCTCTTGTGGCGTGTTGAGTCTGTGGTAGCACAGCTTCTGATCGCGATTTACCTCCGTCTCAGACCCGTCCGTCTTGCCTGTCTGCTCTGGGTAACGCTATACATACGTATTACGTTAAATAAATGCTCATAATGTATTACATATAACATAATCAAAATCTTATTAAACAGTTAAAAACAAGAAAATTAAACTTTCCCGTCGTTTATTATTTCCTAAAAATAATAATTATTTGATTATTTTAATATTTTCCAAATAATGGCATTACGCATAAGTATATAAAGTAAATATCTATTTAAATTGAAAAAAAAAAAAAGAATATATATATATTTAGCAGACATTGAGCTTCAATACCTATGTGTTAAGATTGAAATCACCTTGCGCGAGAGGTACAAGTAACAATAAGATTGAAATCACATTCGACGGCGTTAGGACGCGGTACCAAAGTAACAATATGTGTCATATTTCTTAAATCTTAATCGATTTTTATTCAAAGTTAGCAATGTTTAATGCACCACTTACTGAGTAAAACAGTCCCTTGTGATCTTTGGTCCATGACATCGAAGCGAATTTGACCTTCTTTAAAACCTCCGGGTAGTCTTCACCTAGAATGAATTATAGAAAATGTGTATTTTTATAATTTTATTGAAAGAACATTCACATATCAAACCTCATTTAAGTTTCTTATAGGTACATATACAGTGATATATTTGACAGGCGCGTAAGAAATAAAACACAAAAAAAACTCAATGTATGATTCCCATCACTAATTAGATAACATCAACATATCCGCGGGAGGAAATCCTTCGATTGTATGTAAATAAATAACACGATAGTAAACTTAAAAGATATTTATAATGTATCATAATGTCAGGCCTTGTCTATAAATATCTAATTAATCACTGTGCTCGACCACTCGGATGTAAATAATTCAGATTATTATTCGATGATATTACTGCATAGTACATTATTTATACTGTATTATATTAAAATATTACGCGATTAGAATGTATTATAACACAAGAGGGTAGGCAAGCATTTAATGGAAGGAAATACCTCAGCTATATAACATACTAGCTGTGCCAGCGACGTCGTCCGCGTATAATAGTTATTTTGGGTATCAACATTTATTTTTGAAATCGCCTTTGTCTTTATAAATTATAGCTGTTATCCACGACGTCGTTCTTGCAAGTTAATGTTAAAAGGCATACAGTGTCGTGGAATTTTTCCAGATCATTTGAAGAGAAAACATTTCTGCACACCATAGAGAATCTAGGCCGCTAGAGGCAGAGTGGCCTAACTGCGATTTTCTTATGTCTTGAGTTATTTATATTATTATAGTCTAAAAATGTTAATCTACAAGAGCACTGTAATCGAATATTGTTAACATAATTTTACACAATAGTACAAACTCATTTACGCCTAAGTTAATTGCGCATTTTTATTTTCCTACTTCTAACAAATACCAACCTGTCGCCACATCCTTAATATGTATCGTGATCCAATCTGAACCGCTGGCGGACAATCCGTACGCAAAAGTGTTGCCATCCTCCGTGAAACGACTGCCCGAAAGAGCCACCGTTCCGTCTTCAGACAACTTGTTAGGATCTAGGAACACTCGCGGTTCACCCTCCAGGCTGTCTTGTACGTATAGAACACTGAAAGAAATTCGGGATTCAAATATCATAAACCAATAAAAAAACATGATATAGATAAATTCTTAAGTCTGTAGTTTACGCGAGTCATTTTTGAATAAAACACTTAACGGTTTAAAACGTATAGTATAATAGATAACTTATTTTTAGTTCAAGAACGGCTCGACATTTCGGTTGCTTTGCAACAGTCGTGGTCACGGAGGGACTAAACTCTCTCTACGCTAGTGCCTTACGTCATAGTACTTCAATAAACTGACAAAGTTTTCAGTTTCTCCAAAGTCCAAATAATATAAAAAGTGTTTTCTTTAAAAATAATAAACTAATTATTTTGTGCCTAAACATTTAATAGCACTCTTGCAATAAGGGATTAAAGGAGTTCCTGTCAATATATTGTCTTCTCTTTAATTATTAGTCGGTGTCTATCCGCTAATAAATACAGATTTTCACTGGACACACGAACAGACCCAAGTTTTCATTTTGTAAAATATATTAGGTGCATAAAAACAGAAGAACCCCGGCTCAGATTAAACGATTCTGAACAAATGGATTTTTATTTTTTGCCTTTTATTCCCTCTTCGGCCCTTTGTCTATGAGGTTTAATGTCACGAAAAATTAAGAAAAAGATCTCTTAACTCACTTCTGATTCTGAAGGCCTGTATTCTTGAAGAAGAAGTATCTGTCCCCTCTTCTAAACGGGCAAGAGTATTTAGGATAATTCCATAGCTCAGTCAGCCGCTCGTTAATTTCCTTTTTTGACTGGGCACGCATCGAGGTATGGACGGGTTATTTTGTTTTCGGCCTCAATGAAGGCTTTCGTCTCCTCGGAGTCAGGATCTTCAAGCCATCGATAAGGATCGACTATCTGAAAATTATAACTCTTATTTTTTATTAACTGGCATGCAGCCTTATGTAGCATGTGGAAGACCACAGCCATATAACACTTTAAGAAGATGTGCTGTCAATCTATTTCGGTTTTGGATATTCGGAAATAGAAAGAATAAAACCAAAACGCGATTAAACTTCACGATTTTATCATTATTGGACAGTGGTTCTTTACTCGGATGGAATTTTCTTTATTCCTACTAAGCATTAAATATCTAGATTTCTAGACGAAGTCCAGCGTGTTCAAGGAATATTGGGTATCAACCAACGACCCCTCGATATTAGCCATACATTGACCATTAATTAGACCAACGAACCCGTCATATTTAAAAATCGTTTTTCAACTGGTTAAAAAAACAGTGGCACAAAAAACATCACGAATAACAAATGATTGAAAAAGGCTTTTAAATAGTTGAGATCTCTTTTGAGAAGCAAATACCTGTTTCGCACTATGATAGGTCAATGTACTGTTAGTTTTGTTTATAGATAACCTTTTTGCATCTACTTAAAAAGCCTATAGTTAAATACTGTCTGTAGTTTACGCGAGTAGTACACATTTAAATAAAACACTTTAACGGTTAAAAACGCGATATATTTTAGTTGAACGTGGTCAAGAGGAGACTATCTCTCCGTGACCACGTTTAACCGTTAAAACGTCAGGTGTAGTTAAAAATAATTTTCATTTCAAAATAATTTTATTTACAAGTTAAGCATTAAGACAATATGGAAGCGGTAACTTGAGTGATATATTTATTATTATAGAACTTAAAAAACCATGCCACTGTTACAAAAACTTTCGCGTTCTTGACCACGTTAAAGAATAATTCTTCGCGTGGCCTTCCCTTACCTTGCAGTTATTTAGAACGTGGTTGGAATAGAAATCTTTTAAAGCAATTTATCTTATATCTAATGCGTTACTGACAAGCTATAATGTAAGATTGACGAGCTCGTTCACGAAATAGTGGCAATGTATGAGCTTTTAAGTAAAACACTTTATCGGTTTAAAACGCGATATATTAGTTAAACTTATTTGATTTTTCAACTTCGGCCCGACGTTTCGGATGCTTTGCAGTAGCCGTGGTCACGGAAATTTCGCGTTTTAAACCGTTAGTGTTTTATTTAAATGTGTACTACTCGCGTAAACTATAGACAGTATCTAATGTATGGGCTAATAATGCATTAGAGTTAAGCACGAAAGCTCCTCCAATACTAGTTTTGGTCTGTGCACAGAATTCTAACCAAATTTTTGGTAACAACGTATGGCTGGCTAGATGCCCACAGGGTCCGACTTTTTAAATTCATTTATATTTTTCTAAAACATGTTGGACATCGTCTGGATATCTGGATATGAAATGGGTGGTGAGTATAACGAATATATTATGTTAATATATTTTTTATCCCACTTATTACAGTACGGTCTTACGTGAAGAGCTTCCAATAGAAATTATCTCCCATGAGTCCGCCTTCGTGGCTAAACAAACGTGTTCATAATCCATGTTCGCTCGAATTTCGAAAAACAAACTATAGAGCCGTGTCTTTTATGTAAAACGATCACAGAAGTGCGCTCGTCCTAAGCCTAGGTGGAAACATGATTTCACATTTGTAAAGTCAATTATTCCCCAAAAATCACATTACTTATGTTTCGATTTGTAGGTAGATGTATATATATTGTTTGTTCAATTCGACATCATTAATGTTGTTTACAACAATGATCTACAGGAATTTTAATTACACTTATTTTCGAATATTATCTTTATTTATTTAAATTTAATCACTGTGACGATCTGTTCTAATTTTACATAAACAATATTCTTATTTATTACAGATTACCAAACGAAACTCGACCTCTGACAAATATTGATACAGCCGACCCGACATAGCTCTTCCAGTGCTCCAAATACTAATTATAAAGTCTATTTCTAATTATATTCAAATAAAAATAAAAAATAAATTGTTCGATATATTTTAGTTAACGTGTGGGTAGATTTACGTGGTTTGTCCATGTGCTTATTTCCACCAAGTATTAAGTGATGGAAACTTAATACGCCAAAATCCTACCTTAATTTTCAAAATATATAAATTCAAACGTATACATAATTCACTTCTGTCGGACAATTTATGTCTAGGTCATAACAGGTTATTTTCCGATAAATATAGCATGGAAAAACAATATTTCGTTACCGTGTTCTTTTAAGCCTCATGGAAAAAATATAGTATTATTATTAAAGGTTATCGAACATCCAAAACCAAAACCAAAAGCGACAGTACATCTTCTTTAGATGTTGGCTGGGGTATTCCACCTTCCTTCAAGAAAATAGCCGTGCTTGTCTGTCATCTTCTATCATAAAAAGGTTATCTATGTTGATTAGGTTGGTTAGGTATGTTACCTTTGTACCGTGGTAGTCGTCGACCACTGTCTCATCCCTCCTCACCTCCGGGTAGACGAAGCTCATGTTCCACGATCTTGACGATGCGCGCGCGCACTGAAACGCACAAATATATAGAAAGAGAACACATTTCAACGCCCGCATCGCACTCCGTCGAGAATGTTGATTGGCCAAGGACTGACCAACGCCTAGCGCGAACTCTCTTTATATTATTAATAAAACGTTATACGACCCGTTATAGCGCGTTTCTTGTCGTGCTTTGGTAAAATCGTTCAAATGTGTCATGTTATGACAGAATAGATTGCTTATTAAATGTGGCCAGGTCAATAAATTGTGTATTAACTTTATTTAAATAAATTATTTGGATTCATTTTTTAGTGTCTAAAAGCTGGACATACAATATTTATTCTCTTAAAGAGGATTAAAAATCAAAGTCGACCTGATGAAAAACATTGTTGTGAGGAACAAAGTGTTTTCCTAGGCACAAGGGTAACGACTTCCAACCCTAAGGGTGGGTCTAAAAATTTCCAAATATCAAAATAACCAATGTAAATACCTTTGATTTTCCAAACCTGAAGTCTAATTGTTGGGAACTGCTAGGAGTATTAATCTCAAGACCACCAAGGAAGTAATGCATAAATTGTTGTTGTATTGCATACATACATATGAAAAAGGCATACAAGGTTATAAATATATTTAAAATTTTAGACGACACAGCAATCTACTAGGCAGCACACAGTAGACTTTCATAGTTGATAAGGTATTGTGTCATGCCTATGCTATATAAATCAGCCTCTTAAAAATCTTATAAGAAGCCTTCGAGTCACTTCTATCTATAGCTGAATTATGTTCTAGTTAGATAAGCATGTAATCCTGGATTAACATACCCAAAACCTTGTTGGTTTTAAAAGTAATAACTACCTACATAAATTATTTTAAGAATGATATATATAATTTCATTTTATACAGACATAGTTTAAGTATTTAGTAGTATTAATTACTTACTACTTACTGAGTGAGTGCAAAAATTATAAAATATTCCAATTTCCATTTAAATATTTAACAACATTTCTGGACTGAATACTAGTATTTTTTAACAGGCAAGTAATCTTGCCATGACAGATCAAATCAAATCAAAGAAAACAATTAAGCAGCTGAAGCTGACAATATTTTTCCAAATAGGGATACAATAAAAAACCAATAAGGGTTTTTTTACATAACTTCTAAGTTATGTAAAAAACAAAAAAGTAAAAAATAATATTTCTGTATCTATACAGAAATATTATTTTTTACTTTTGAAGAATCTAAGATTTAAAAAGAATTCTCAATATCACACCTTTGACAACATATATAACATTTTTATTTTGTTTAAAATAAAGGTATAAACCTTAACTACTAAATTGCAAGCCAATAAGATAAATAATGTATATGTAAAACTGATAAAGTGATATTGTTGCGATGTATTTACTTTATAGTTCTTAAAGATATAGTATCGCACATCTCAATTGCACCTTATAAGAATGATAAGTTTCTCTGACAAACAAACTTTTGGGTAATTTAGTAGTCATTGTATTGGCTGTTATTCTGAAATCGCAACAACTATATTTCCCGCCAATCTCATTCGAGATCATGATGCATTATTGTCTACGTACGCAACATGTAGTTATTAATTTATATTAACTTATTAGCATGACAGCTGTACATAGCGCCCTTTTTTAGGCCAAATTCACATCTATTTTTCTATGATACTAGGTTACTCTAATTAAATATAACCTTACCAATATTTTTCCCGATAGCGTTGCACTTGAATTATTTACGCTAACAAACAATGGACTTTGTTTTATCGTAAACACTGTGAGATTTGCAGAAAATCGACGATGATTGGCAAAAAACCGCAGCACCGACATACAGTTTGACAGTTTTGACATTACTGATTTGCGAAACGTAGATTGGCGAGGAAGTGCAGACTATACCACGGGTAACAACAAACTAACTTGAACTGTAGATAAAGCAGGATTGGAGAGATAAAGAAATTCAACAAGTCTATCTTGAGTATTTTAGCTTTTAGATTAAGCTATTCTTTTGTCAATGTTAGATCTTGAATTGATACCTTATGTTGCAATAGATACATACTTCTGTGTCCGTTTCACTGGTCGGTTGTATTTTCCAAACAATGCTTTTTCGGTCAGGATTTCTTGTGGTTAACACGTTTAGCCAATGCCGACTTACAGCAGTTGTCATATTAAATACCTACTTATAAAATTACTTTCTTCGGTTGTTTTTTTTTAACCACGTTTATAAATTTCTAGTATTTTTCCCCGGTCACACCATAATACTAGAAATATACTATTTAAATAAAACACTTTAACGGTTTAAAACGCGATATATTAGTTAAACTTATTTGAAAATGATTTTTTTCGGATGCTTTGCAGCAGCCGTGACCCCCCGGCTATATATCGCGTTTTAAACCGTTAAAGTGTTTTATTTAAATGTGTACTACTCGCGTAAACTATAGACACAAATATACTAGTACAATTTGCAAACATTAGCTTTATCCAATCAATGATACTTGACTTTAAGTGATGAGACAATTTAATAGGCTACGTAAACAAATGGCGGTATTCCATAATATTATTTTTAACCGACTTCAAAAAAGAATTGATTCTCAATTCGATTCGTTTATATACTATTATTTATATTTTCTACCGGCCAACTTACTTAGTCGTTTTTATTTAAATAAAACATTAGTGTATTAAAAATTTATTTTATTAACGATGGTCAGAACGGTCTACACGAGCAACGTAACCCGTCGTCCGTCGTAAGGCACTAGTCAAATAACGGACACCTCCAAGTAATATTAAAAAAAAAAACTAAATTGATATGACCCTGAAATAAAAAAGCTGGGATAATATTACAGCTTACCATTTAGCGAATGGTCTAATATTAACTCATACAAATATTCGATAAGAATTAATAAAAAAAAATGATATGACAAACTACCCTCTAATCAATAATTTAATTAACACTAATCACTGCCGTAGTTCAATTTGGTTCTTTTGGCTATTGGTACTAATGATTGCTAATAAGCACATACGAAAATACTATTATCTTAATACTGAAGACCTAATTGTAATCATAAGAATTTATCACTACGGTGTTCACTTAGAAACAAATTACTTAACATAAAATTTAAATTACCAAGGAATTTACTAAGTTGCATAGAGATAGGTGTCAAGATAAAAATTTGAAAATTCTATTGCAGTGGTGTATGGTGACGGACTAAACTTCCTATCATGTTTCCGCAGAGCTGAATCTCAAAATGGATATTGCAGAATGTTTTATATTTAAATATTAGCTTTAAAAATGTCTAACATGTGTATAGCAATGACAATATATTACATAATATAAATCACATCAATTCCAAGATTATCAGACTGAGAAAAACAACATATTTTAGTGTTATAGTTATGTTAGAAGTCCCTATAGTCAAATTTAATAAAAGGCTCTTGTCAGACTATGGTATAATATGGCATATTTATAGCACAGCAGTTTTGCTATATTATACTGTACTCTGTAGAAAACAAATATATGAGCTACACGCCTAATTTATGATACAGATATGATTAAAACTTATTTGAGTGCTGTTACTTAACATATGGAGATCATTTTTGACTACAATAAAGTTACTACCAGTTACTTAAGTTTTTTCATTAAATCAAAAATATACTACGCGTTTCCCGTTTTCCAGAAACGAAATGGCCAAATTAATCTAGAGTTTTATACAGAGTTTCTCCCACTCTTTTTTATACACCTCTTTCTCTTGCTATTGAGGCTGAGGAGAAACCTATGAAAAGCTGTCTGGCTCGCACTCGTCCCAGCTGTCGCAGTCATAATGTTCACAATCGTAGTCGATGTCGCAAGCAGCGTGTCCAGTGGCATCCGAGCTAATGTCGGTTAAAGCAGCGTCTGATACTGGCTTCGATGATATATCGAGAATCTGCAAACCAAATAATGTATATGGGCAATAAAACACAGATTGAGACAAAAAACGGCCAAGTGCGAGTCGCGAGAATATATAACTGGCAAAAAAATGGCAACTTGTACTGTTATTTTTCCATTCGTAGTTTATTATGATAAAGGAGGATAGACAAACATGGGATTTACTGCTAGTGGGTGAAATACCCTAGCCAAAGAACTTTTAGAGGATTAGGAACATACTGGCTGCAACCCCTTAATGTCCCACTGCTGGGAAAGGGCTCATATCTCATGGGAAAGAAGGTTAAGGTCTATGACACACCACCCTACTCCAGTGAGGGGTGGTAGGCTTCAATAGCGGTTTGATGACTGTTGACATTTACCTAACCCTCGTAATTTGTTATCTATTGTGTAACCCCTAGATTAGTAAGGCAAGCGTAACATACAATAAGGGAATCATAAGATGTTGTCTATTAATATACTCACGTCAGCAGAAGAGCGTAAGCTGTAATTGTCGGAATGTGGATCGCGTTTGCGTTCGTCTTTCGACACGTTCTTACCCTCCGAACGCGCTGCAAATTCAGATGGATTCGAACGTTCTAGAAGGAAAAAATAAAGTAATAAAACTTAAGAAAACACAGTAAAACAGTTATAGACAGACAATATGAAAAGTTATAAAGAGACAGAGTGAAGACTAAATTGTGCCAAAAAGAAAACATTAAAAAGTCAATATATAATATATATACATGTTTCTTAGATAATATATAAGGTGGGGTAATTCGCCTACGATCAAGTGAACCAAATGCCTGCCTGTCCCCTTCTGCCATAAAGACAAAATAAAGATTTGAACAATAAATCATATTAAGCATGTTTTTGGGAATTACGCCCCTTACCCTACAATATACGATTGTTATAATATATTTGTATACACGTAAGACGCGCAGATATATTTATCAGTGGGAATGCAATGAATATTACTTTGAACTAATAAAAAACAACGACAGCGCCATCTATACCTTTAACAAGGGGGTCAGCAAGCGATACAGGGGAACCGCTGCGCGGGGATACGCTACCACTGAAGTACATCTCCGGGTTAGCTTCGTGACGATCTGTAAGGGAACGTTCAAAACTAGCAACTACTACGAGCTTTTAAGAACCGAACTATAAATATTTTATCTGTAACATTTTCTTGGACCAACTACAGAGATTCAACTATTTTTATTATACCTTGTGTAATTTAGAATGATAAGTTTGACATTTCATGACGATTGCTTGTGTTTCTTGGAGTGCACTAGAAATACTACTATTCTTTATTACAGGGTTATAGATAAGAGAGAAACGATGGCAGTTTAAAATTAATTTACACACATGTAAAAAAACAGAAGAAGAATTTTTATATTTGATTGAAATACTAGAAAGTTGTATTGTTTGCTTATTTAAATATTGTATATACCTATTATCTAAATCAATATTATAAATATTTATATACAGCCTCTCCCGAAAATTATTAAACTTATCATTCTATTTTAGACAAAGTATAGGGTAATTTACAAAGATTATAAATACAAAAATCTACGTATTATACGCGTATACGCATGCTTGACACCAAAACTATGAAAGTAAGCCCAATTGTAAATACTGTTTAAACTAGATTTTTATTATCCCTATCTCACTCATGCAAATAGGAGTTGAGTGAAATAGCATGCATTTTGAATCTATTAGCTTACTGTCAAAGTCATAATACAATAATACAGTTTATCAAATTGCAAGGAATATTACTGGGAGGGAGATAATGTTATTGAGACTTAAAAGTTACCACAATCAACGATATCCTGGAAAACATATTGGGCCATGTTAACTGGCTGCTTGATCCAAGAGTGAGCCATCAGCTGAGGAACTGTGCAGCGCTGCATCGGTTCTTTGCACAGCATCCAACGAAGTAAGTGCTCTAGATCTGTAAAAAACCATTGGCGGTTAGTTATACAAACATCATATGCAAGTAAAATAATATACATTTATAATATGTATGTATGTATGCATGTAAATTAAGTATGTATTTTTCTTTTAAATGTTCTTTTATTGGTCGTAATTGTACATTAATCATTTAAATATTATAAGTTAAGGATTATTAAGGCCCACCATGCTGCTACAAAGCGAGTCGATGGACTTTAACGACCAAGACCAATAAATTAAATCGCAACATACACTGTCGACATATTAAGATTTTCGGTAATGAACAGATTGATATCATCGCGATTTAACTTTACGGTTTTCATTTGTGGACGGTATTTTGTGACCCGGATGAAATTTCGATATTTCTACCACCCATTTCATTACTCTCTGAAGACATCTACATGTGTTTGAAAAATTATTGAATGAATTAGAATATTGGAGGTGGGGCTCGAACCGTTGATTATTAGATATACATTATACTAATGAGCTCGTCAAAGTTTATAGAAAACTGCTTACCTTCAGAAACAAGTTGCGGAAAGGAGAGGGGGCCGTGTATCGTGTCCTCGATGTCAGAGAAGGGGTTAACGAAAAACGTTAACACGTACAGCGTTATTCCCATTGACCACATCTCCAACTCGGGACCTGCATACCTTCAAACCACAAACAAAATAAATGAGTAAAGTACGATTGTTATTATACACGAAGAGCATGGACATACGCACACTTACACAAACCTTGAAAACCTATTCACAGGCCTAACGTATGTATACACAAAATTTTATTTATCTTCATTCAACTGTTTCGGAGGACTACACGAATAGTTTGTTAGGACAATTTGTGTATTTCAAGATTAATTAACTCATCCGGGGTTCGAAGTTCGCTGAGACTACTAAACTAAAAACTTAGATAGAACTATATATATTTTTTAAATCTCAGTTTGCGGAAACTGTATATAACCAATTTTAAGCCACCGTGTCTGTGATAATCGAATTTTTCAAAGAAATATTTTATAATGAAGTGACAAGTGTATAAAAGATACATGTCACTTACATTATGGACCAGTTACTCACTTATTTCCCGCCAAAACTTCCGGACTGCAGTACTCTGTGGTTCCATAGAAAGTAGAGAACAGCATATCCTTACTCATGAAAGTCGCTGAACCGAAGTCTATTAGTTTCACGTGAAACTTATTGTCTATGATCACGTTCTCATCTTTAATGTCACGGTGTAGGATGTTCAAGGAATGAAGATACTCTACCGCTTGACCTATCTGAAAGAACCATAAAAAAGAAAAATAAGAACCATATTAAACATTTGGAATTTTCAACCATTTTATTTGTAATGGTTTTTATATTGTGTTTGTTAAATGCCTTGTATTATTTATTTCATCTGTAAATTAGAATTTAAAATGGGTTTAAGTCTATGCATATTTAAATATTCAAAGCCAAAATAGGTTGTTAAGGCATGTTACTCAGATGTATATGTTTGGAGCAATTCCCTTAGCATTATGTGAAACCTAAAATAATACACAAACATGCAATAAATATAGGTAGCCGTGCGTGAGCCCGACACACACTTGGCCGGTTTTTCATATTACCTGCCTAAATATGTAAGACACCAGCGGCTCGTCAAGTCTCGGTCTCCGTTCTATAAATTCAAAGAGGTCCATGCCAGCACCATGTTTCTCCATCACCATTTGGAAGTACTTTTCGTTTTCAAACATGTCAATAACACTCACCTAAAAAGAAGAGATTAATATTGAATAGATATTTCTCATAGACCACAGATTATAGAAAATGAAATTAAAAACAGATTTTACTTTGAAAATTTTAAGACACAGGCTTAAACCGACATCGTATGTGTCGTAATTTTTTTCAATCTAGAATCAAAAGAATATAAAAGGTTTAAAAGAAAAAATATATTTTTTTAATGGTACTAACTATATCATACATCAAGTGTCAATCTCAATACTTACGATATTTGGATGTTTTAGCGTCATCAATAAGCTCAGTTCTAGGGGCACCTTCCTTCCGTCCGGTCCGTCTACCCAAAACTGCGCGCCAACTTTTTCTTTTAATATAAACTTGGCCACAGCGAGAAGGCGATCCGATTTTCTGTATGCCATTTTAACGCAACCGTACGCGCCTTTACCTGTAGGAAATTAATAAATACTTATATTTAAACACTTTATCAAAAATATACCCTAATCTGTGAATGTTAAGGTTGAAATTACATTGCGCAAAAGTATCTTTCAATGCGTAGAAGGATAAGGAACAGACGAGACACGGTAGCTTAATTGGTTTAGAGGACCAGCATGGATCGCTGTGGATTGAAGCCCTGCTCGTGTCATTACTTCAATCTAAATATATTTTTAATTTCAATACTTTTGTAAGAGTTTGAAAAAAATAAAAAAGTTAGAAATTGAACGACAAAACCTATTATGACGTCATAATATCGTAAGTTTTGTATGTTACTTACCAATCTGCTTGAGTGTGACATAGTGCTTGCTGTATTCACCACTGATTTGTTCCTCTCCACATTGGCTCATCAGCGACATTGATTGAGGTCTGCTACTCACAGATTTATTGCCCTGTACATAAAGGTTACTTAAGAAAAATATCAAATCAAGAACAAATTTACCTTTCAATAGTGGGTCGGGGTAGCGAAGCATGTACTATTTTACAGAGAAATAAAAACTCAATCGCCAGCCCCTCTATCGTGTTATAGTCTCAAGAAACTAAGCTAGATATAGCTTTTTCTCTTGTACTTACAAGAACTAGGGAATTGTCAGCGGTAGAGTTTAGGCTGGAAGCGAGGGTGGCATGACGCGGTGCATCTTCGCGTCTCACGCCGAGCCAAACACACCGAACGCTACGACCACTCGCTAACTGCATACTAGACACTGTGTATACGACATCTGGAAAAAAATATCGAATATAAGTCAAACATTTATAACTAACTGATAATGCTTGACATAAATAGGAGTGTTTTAGAATTTGTCGTTTTTAAGCAGGTCATATAAAAAAAAATTAAGAAAGTAAATAAAAAAATTGAATGACACTTTTTACACGAATAACAATGTTGGTATTTGTTGCTTATTAAATGATACTTACTAAGCTCTGTGCCATCTTTATGTAACACTATGCCGCGATAAGTCCCGTCCTTATGTCGATAGTCGTACTCCGGTTTGCTGTTGCGGGAGTGCGTCGGAGTCGATGTGGTCACGTGACTGCGAAGCGCTTTCTTTGCTACACATGACGTCCCGGGAAGATCATCTACAAATAATGATGAGATATTAGATGATGTATGTATATATATAAATTCATAAGATATTTTTAGATACAGTGAACGAGGCAAGAGTATTTAAAATTTTTGGATTAAAAAAACAATTAGACACCGATATTCAACAACAATGAGTTTAAAATCTTAACGAATTATATTGCACATAATAGAATCATATAAATTTAAAATTTTATAAGATTCAGAAGTTCGATGATAACTTGTGGGACATGGTAGATCAATATAGGTCATAGCAGCACAGACTACTGTGGATGCCGTTTGTGGCCCACACAACGAATCGTAAATCTACAATATAAATAGATATTTTTTGTTTCCATCATCTATTTTCTTAATATAAATAGAAATTTAAGCAAAATGGCTTATCCGATATTCTGAAACCTAATTACAATACCTTCATACTTCTTCCGCGGCGCCGACTCAGTTTGCGTCTCCAGATCAATGTCATTGCTTAAGCTGTCAACACTTTCATTCCCATTATGGTGGGGCAGATCCTCAATTTCACACCCAGATGGCGGCATCTCATTGATCGGCGTCAAAAAGTCCGCGCTTGTCTCATTCGAGTCACAGAAATCCAACGACACACTACTTCGATCCTCCTTCCCCTTTTTACACTTATTCGAATCCAGAGACAGTCTCAACGATGGGTCATTCAATCTAGTCTTAGGGGAGCTCCCCGTCGGGGTCACTTCTTGGGAGTGTTGAGATGTGTAATAGATGGAGTCAGATTTCTCCGATGGTTTCCCTAACTGCTTTATGGGGTGACTCTGCTCTGAACGAAGTAGATTTTCTGATCGAGATTTTGATATCGAGCTTTGGCAATAATTGTCTTCGTCTATAGATATGCCCGACATGCCCGACGTTATATCAGGAAGGGCCGATGTATCGTTTCGTTGTTCAGTGCTGAGACTTGAGACCATGTCTTGAGTGGGTGTCGGTGTGTGCGTGATTAAACTGCTGGACTTGTCCAAGTAGAGGGCACTGGAGGACTTTTCTCTTGTAGTTGAGAGTAAAGACGGCTGCACGTTTAGTGATATGCAAGCAGACTTTTGACTTCCATTAAATGCTCCACAAGAATCCTCGTCCGTGTCTGAAACTAGAAATTTACGTTTGTGATATTTAGTTCTGTCTAGGTATGGTGGTGCTAGACAAAAAAAAAATAATTCACACAACCTAGCAATGGTCTAAGCTGATAAATAAATATGAATGAAATAATCATATTTAATTCATAATCTTAAATCTCCATTTAGGTATATTTTCTTAGAAATATTAAACGAAGCTCAGTTTTTTCTAAATACCTGAACCATCATTTTCGTTGTTCACAGGAGATAAGGTCATGTTTCTATTATTTTCCTGTACTTTAACCAGGTCACTCTCCCTGCAAAAATTTTGTATAACATCCTCAATGTGATGGCCTATAACTTCTGACTGCGGCTTGCCGAAGGTCAGTTGGGCGAAATGTTGATTGCATGCTGTTATTATACCAAATTCATCTACCACTAGTAGTCCACTTACATTATATGTAACCTGAAATAATTATAGCATGTTGTTAATCTTTGTTTTACCGGCCACCCGAATGGTGTAATCGATTATCCTTTGTAATTCATCGGCTCTTTAGCCTCTGGCTCTAGGAAAGATGATAATTACCTAACTCTACTATAGGACATCTTCAATAGTATAAAATTTATGTAGTTTTTTAACTCACCCTAACATTGACTTCATACAGTGGATGTTCTTTGACTTTTGTTGTTGAAACTGATAAACTTGGTTCAGGTTTTGAAATCCACAAACACAGAGGGAATGAATAGCCGTCCAGTGTCCTTCCTGAAAAAAGTGATTTTATGAATCTTTATGTCCGTCTGTTCTCTGATCTGATATATAGAAAGAAAAATATTCTACCAATTCAATACCTGTTGCTTTCTGTTTAGCTAAATTCTTCGGTATGCCTAGATCAAATGGTGGTAGTTGTATGGATGGAATCAAAGACGCTATTGGAATTCCTACGAGCTTTTCACAGGATTCTGCTTGAAATAGAAGACCAGCATCGGAACCTTCACAATTAGTTATGATACCAGTGTCGGCTTCTATTGTGAACTGAAAAAAATAAATAAGAAATAACATTTTGCTGAAATACAATATGCTGGTTTCGTCCAAGTCGATTTAAGATTGAAAAGATTTTACGCCACAATCTGGAATTTAACCGGCATCCACACGTCATTGCCATACTTTTTCAAGTTATTGATACATGCACCTCTCGCGCATTGCACTACTTAATTTGATCTAAATGTTTCATTCACACTTTTTTAAAAAGCTATGTTAAGCAAGTATGCTATGAAAAATATTATCGAAATATTAGACAATGACAAATTGAACTATTCTATTTCAATCTATTAAAATGCGTCTCCACCACTACACCACAAAGGGGAAATTTCAACCGATTCCAGTATAAAAATAACATGTTATGTGCATCCAATTAACTCACAATGACAGTTTTGCAGTTGACTGGCTCTGCAACTACCAGGCAAGGTCCATCATTATCCAGTTGTCGAATCCACAATGATACTTGGACAGCAGTGCCATCTTTAGACAACAATTCCAGAACCTAGTAAAATATTTATTATATATTATTATGAATATAATAATACTATATTATATAGGAATACCATGACACTGGGTTACAGATCAATTAGAATTATTAAACAAAGCAATCATTTTGCCGTCAATTTTACATAGAAATAGTATAACATGTTGCTTAACATTGCGATAAGCACAGAATAACTAGGTCGGAACTCCAGGAAAGCTATAAATTGTTTTGTTCATCTGGACAGAGAAGTCTGATCACCAACTTACATATAAATAAAATTAACCAGTGCAACGGATATATAACTTTGTTTGTCCCATGCCCAGTGACTTTTTTAGTAACTTGTAAAAATCACATTATTTGAGATCCCGCAAGTAGAGGCTACATATTCATGTTTTGAGTAAAAGTCATCCTGCATACTTTTCCTCCAAGTAATATTGCTGTACCATCTTCGGATGTGTCCCCATCTTCTGCTGCATGTAAACTAAATTTCTTTTGACTAGATCGATTGTGAAGTAAATCCGAGAAGCAAAGGTCGCATAATTCACCAGATGAATATCCCAGGAGGGAACATGCCTTGTTGTTAACAATGAGAATCTGTAGGAGTTAAAGATAATAGTTTACTTTTTTACAGAATGTAAAGTAAACTGACTACGATCTAAAAAAGCCACAAAATGTTTTGCATATAATTTTTTTCTGACCTGACACCATTAACCCTCAGGAGGATAACTTACCAGGTGATAATTGATCGAAAAATTAAAAAAAAATTAAGGGTAAACAACCATTATCACTTAGGGGTATGAAAAATGATAGTAGTAGATTCTCAGATCTACTTGAGTAAAAAACTAACATTGTGACACAAGAATTTTATATATGATATAGGCAAAAACAATACACAAAAATACTTACCTTTGTAGTATTTGGTTCAATAGTAAAGATTGCTTTGCTGCTTATATTCTGTTGCAGTCTGTCAGTTTGGGATTGCGCTGGAGAGCTAGAGACTTCTCCAGCTACCAAGGAAGTGTTGAATCGTAGACCATTAGGTCCATCAACTATAAATTAAAAAATACATACACAAAAATACATGATTATATTATATGAAAGAAATAATATTACAATTCTCAATTAGTTCAGTCACTAGTTGAATTATATTCTATCATTATATGCAATTGAGAATTGCCCTCCATATTTTTATTTTAATCAAGTAATTATTTTTTAGTTACCTCTAACTAAATCCACTGAATTTTTTATTTTAGTTGAAGTTTCCAGATCCATCTTGATGGGCCTGATGTGTCGTTTTAGATTAGGAAAACTCTGGTTACCCTCAAAGGAGTAATTGCTCCAGACATTTTGCAACTTGTGATTAGCTTTGACAGTCCTGTAATTGTTATTTAAACATGTTAGGAATAGATAATTACTTCTCAAAAGATATTATGCATTCATGTTAAAAATGTGCTAATTGCAAAACAATAATAAAGAAGTTATTATATATTATATATGCATTTTCAATACTTGAAAAGATAGTTAAACTTAAAAGAGCAGAAAGCCTTGGAAATACTTGGGATAATTTGCATCAAACAATTTTTTAAATAAAACACTTTAACGGTTTAACCCGTGACCACGGCTGCTGCAAAGCATCCGAAACGTCGGGCCGAAGTTAAAAATCATTTTCAAATAAGTTTAACTAATACATCGCGTTTTAAACCGTTAAAATGTTTTATTTAAATGTGTACTACTCGCGTAAACTATAGTATCAAACAATTTTACCATTTTATTTTCAGTAACTATGCATTTACCTGCATTTCTTGTCAATATTTGAAGAAGCTTTAGGTGTAGAGAATTTATGTTTTTCATTGGTGATTGGAGTGCCAAATTGCGGCTTCTAAAATACATAAAATGATTAAACAGACATACAATAAGAAGTTTAATTCACTTAAAGTAAGTTTTCTTACTGTCTTTGGAGTTAAATTTAGGTGCTCCGGCGAATAAACATCAACAAACCGCCCTAAGCGAGGTTTTATCGGTGTTACTGATGGCGTATTAGTAAGACCACTGTAAGAAAGAATAAAACTTATTTTTATGCACTGTTTAAGTAGCCTGGATCGATACTACCTATTTATAGTACAGTGTAAACGTAAACGAATTACTTTATGATTTATTTACAACCTTTCAAACTTGTTTTGAAGGAAAATCGATAAAATACAGCGCGCAAGTTCAAAATAAAGGCTCTACTGCATGTTGTACCTGTTAATATTAAAAAGCGGTGCAGATTCCATGATAATGAACCAAATGTATGATTCCTGTTGATGATGTGTATTTATATTTTTGTCATTCTTATTTATTGTTCAAATTCACAGGCTTTGTAAAAAAAATTCTTTACAACCGTCGAAATTCAAAGATATACAAACGTCACAAATAATACGAGAAATTCGGTCGGTAATTGTCAATTGTCATAATGGCGAATTAAATTATATTTATTTATATATAGAGTAAATTTCAAAACATACTTTACTTTTACATAATGTAGTTCACACTAAAATTTTCAAGATAAAAACATGACGCTGATTCATCTTATATAAATTTGCTAAACATTGTTTTGGCTTAACTGTGAAGGTTCATGCCTCCATTGAGAGATGGCGCAGTTCACAAAAAGTTAACAATAGGTAAAAAAAATAAACCATGACATTTATTCGTGTGTTATTTAGTATGGTAGTAATGATATCATTTTTTAAGTAAAAATATACACTAACCTAAAGAAAAAAGTTATCTTAGACGTTTACCACATTTACATTGTAACTCGAGAATCGAACCTAGTCTATTCGCATCAATGGTTTACTAAATTGAATCTATACAGAGACTGGGAGCGTGGCGTCTCCTGTAATCCGGCTTCTCGGAGGTCTGGTGCGGAGGATGGTTTGAGGTCGGGAGTCCTGGTGCTGAGATGTCCATGTTGACTGGACGTCCACACTAAGCCTGGTATTAATATGGACCCCCCGGAGGAGTCTGGGGGGTGCAGGTTAACTAAGGAGGGGCGAACCGGGCCAGGGGGGAAACCCAGCAGCCAAAAGTCCCCGTATCGGGCAGTAGTGGGATAGCGGCCGGGAGTGGGCGCTCAGTATCAGCCCGACCAATATAACCAGACCCGTTCCTTTTGCTGAAATATATTAAATAAATCATAGACTTTCTTCTAAGTGCAGTATAATAATTTTATTTATTTAATATGCTTAATGGGAAGTAAAAGTTTAAATATCGCCGGTGTCATCTTATGTTTAACAAATTTAATATTTCTATCAACAGGCTTGTTTGGATATCGGGACATGGGGTGACTTTTTAGTACAAAGCAATATTAAAAACAACAATATTTTATTTATTTTTTCACAATAAGATACATTTCGTATGACTTACTTTAATCTTGTCACCAAATACTTTTAGAAAAAAAGGAAACATAACATATTATATTAGTAATAACTATAGTTGTACCGTGTATTATTTTACCTAAATGTTGTAGACATATACAGAGATATTTTACTCAGAAATAAGTCTCATACTCGTAACTCGTAAGAATGCGATCGTTACAGTTTAATAGGCGGTATATATTGATTGGCGTTCCAATTGTAAGAATAAACTTACTGAACTTTCAAAACTCAAGGTCTAACAAACTAGTTTCCACAATGTAATGAAACGCCCAGCCCGGTACACATAATTATTGTATTATTACATTTGTAATAAAAATATTGTTTGCATGTTGTTGTAGGATTAATTCACTTATTTTCTTTGTTAGCAAAAATACAATGTACCTATCTGATATTTTATAAAAAATAACGCCTTTAAAAATAGATGTTTAAATGTTTAGGTACATTTTATAAATGATCGTATGTAATGTTCATATTTTTAACAACTTTTAGCATGTTTAAAACACTTTAACGGTTTAAAACTCAGTTTAAGTATTTAACGTATAGCATGGTTTCCGTTGATTAATAGTTAACTCAAAATAAATATGTTTCCATCTTTTAAGTTCATTCAGTCATGTAAATTATTTCGTATTATTGACGATTTGTTAATAAATTTGTAACTGAAAACATAAGTGTATTGCATACTATTAAATTGAAACTTGTGAAAGTATTGCAAAAATATCTATTCCTTTCACAAAGTTTGTAAGCCAATACAACTAAAGACTCCAAACGTAGCGAATTGTCTTTGCTCTGCAATATACCATCGCCGAAATATTTAGTACCTAAAGTTTATAAAATAACTCCACTACGTACTGAAGGAAGTCAACTATTTATATATTGAAAAAAATGACATTCCAATGTTTCGAGGTTAGGATTTAGGCATATTTAGTTTCTAACAAATATCAACGTATGTTTCCTGAGCTTATATTACCAATTGATTTGACATTGCTGTATTTCAAGCGTAAGAATGCAATACTAACCATATCCATACCAGTATTATATAACTGAACAGTTTGTTTGTTTGCGCTAATCTCAGGAACTACTCTATTAACTCTATGGTATTGATATTGATTCATTAAACATATATAGATCTATAGTCATCCTTTCAGACTTCGTCTCAGTACAGATGTGTGTAGATTAATAAATTAGATAATTATATAAAACAAGATATATATAATAGATTGTAAATATACAGATTTAAGTTATACATGTAAACAAAGATGTGAAAATGCTTTTTATTCATTTTTTTATTGTATATACATATATTTACATCTTTTTAAGAGAGTTAAACATTACCGATGTTTGGCACCTTTTTTCCGGCGCCACAACGACAAAGGTGCCGACCTTTAAAGTTATGTATTTACATCATCTTCAAAGTACGTCCCTATAAGCGGTTTCAAAACCGTTATGCCTGTTTGAATTTTGGAGCTAAAATCGTACCAAATAGTTTTGTCGAATATTTTTCGGCTTTTCGGTCAGAAGGCAAGGTTGCAAGTCTACTAATTAATTTTGCAAACAACGTTTTGCCGGATCAGCTAACGTATACAAAATATGACGGCATTGATAAAACAATACACAGGTATTTATTGCAACATACATAATCAGATAACGTATATAGTAACTGCTAATGTTTCGCACAAAAATGTATTAACGTAATTAAAAAGATAATCTCAGCGAGAGGTCAACAAATGTATCTTGGCCTCGCCCTCTATATTCACTTAACCCATTGTAAATAAATAATAATACATATGTTGCCAATTAAATACAAGGTATTTTTAAGAAGAGAATGACTAAGCTATTAGTGCTATCGAAAGATTAGAGATATACAGATATACATTGGTTTAAGTGAAGGCCATACTGGCCAGACAATTGTGTGGTTCACATCATGGTGGGTGGAATACCCCAGCCTATAGCATCTAAACAAGATGCACTGTCGCCCTATTTTGTCTTTGGATATTCGAAAAATAACTTGTTTTAACCTTTCATTGTTCAGTACAGGTCAGGCGCAGGAGAGGGCTTAAGAAAGTGTAGATGGGGTATAACGACCCAAGTCTTGTCTCGTGGACTTCATAATCTGGAATCGCGTGTCCCTACTACAACAACGAGGTAAATTAATACAACAGGATTGCTAAAAGTGATATAAGGCCGCTAGAGGCAGAGTATCCACTTCAATTTTATGACTTGACTTTTTTTACATTTTTATAGTCGACAAGAGCACAGTGACCGAAAATTATTAACATACAAATTCATTTTCGTCTAAGTTAATTGCGCATTTTTATTTTCCTTATTTAAAATCATGCTTTTCTTATTAGGCCACTCTGCCTCTAGCAGCCTCATATACAGTTCTCTTTTGTTGCTTCTCTGAACTCGGTTTTAATTGTTATAATTCAAACCTTGAATTAAATTGTTAGTTTCAATTGAAAAGTCATATCGCAATGCTCATTGCGAGACAATAATTCTAATTGGAAACTTTTCATTAATCTTAAGTTCGCTTTACACGAAACAAAGGCATAACCTTGATCGATTTAGTTTTGACAGTCATCAATATCGACTCGGCATGTACGGGATCGTTGCTGTACAGGGTTGACAACCGTACTAATATACAGTATTGTACTATATTTAGGGTCTGTGTACTATATTCTGTTAAAATAAGATATAGTACACATAAATAATATATTCGACCCCTTATAATTTACTACTTTTTAAAATTAATGAATATCTTTGCGTTCGTTTTTAAATGTTGATAAATAATATTTCATACTTTTTTTATTTTAAGAGTGGACTATATAAATTAACTAATTACATCCTTTTCAAGCTATATATGAATACTACATTACGACGGGAAAATATTGTCAACCCTGGTTGTACTTTTCATTTTGTCTTATATAGGATAACAAGTCTGATAAAATACAAATGAAACTTATAAAGGATTTTCTTGAATTGAGAAATATAATATAGGTGAGTGAAGTAATATGAATATATCTTTTTAATGCAAACAAATTGAATTATCGTTTGTTTTCCTTATTTCTAATATTTTATACATATTTATCGTAACACAACAACAATCGTTTTAAAATTGTTATATAGATTTTAGGAATCACTAACCGAATATTCAACATTTCAATCGATTAGATTCTTCTTCTCTTTTAGTGCCTTTCCATCCTACATTAGACAAAGTATAACTGCGGATATGATCGTGATTAGAGTGATATTGGCTAAATCGTTAGCGTGCCCCGGATTTGAATGAATTTCGGTCCAAGACCTCTGTCTTGTACGTTACCGTTTTTATCGCAAGATTGGAAGGCTAAATACTTTAAGCATTGCTAAATCTGCTTTTCATAGTCTAATAACTACTTTCGTTACGCAAACTGAACGCATTTTTAGCCTAATATTACGTTTTAACTGTGCCGCTGTCGTAGCTCAATGGTTAAGCTAGTTTTGCGCTAAGAACAAGAGGTTCCGGGTTCTAAATTATAGTTTCGGTCGGGCAGAGCACAGAAGCTGATCAGCGACTTAACCTGTCAATGATTTTACTTATATAGGTGCTTTTGATCAGTGAAGCCAACCCAGAAACATTCTTTGTCCCGCATACGAGAAAGAAGATCAATAGACACATTACATTTTATCTCTAGAGTTTGTGATGTCTATGTTCGTTGTGGTTTATGCCAAGACCAGTTATCGTGACTAGAAAAAATAAAGGCAAACTCAGCTTTTTCAGTTCTTATGAATGACTTAATCATTCTTATTACTAAACAAGGATTAACTCTCAAAGTTGGTTTAAATCCTGGTTCATTTGAAGTCCTTATTACAAAACGAAGTTTAAC